ACACACACACACACACACACACACACACACACACACACACACACACAAAGATGGAGCAGAATATGGCGGGCAGGTGAAGCCTTCCTGTGGAGGCTCTCTGAACACTGGGGGAGTGGTCACACATCTGGCTGAGGTAAGGAAACTGTAGCCTGGTGTCCCCACTGGGCTACCTTCATCTCACGGGAGCTCGGGATCTTCAGTGTCCATACTCTGGAGCAGCTGCAGTGGTCAGGGGTGCTGGGGGCCCACTAGGAATGAGAAGTGAGTGTGCTGGGCCTGACATCTGGACCCCCATCTTGTATTTTTAGGAGCTGAAGGGTGCTCGTGTCATGGAGGGGTCTGTGGAACTTAAGCAACAACTTCCTGTAGAGGAGAGGCAGGTGTGTACAAGCCCCGCTGTAGGCAGTTCCATGTTCGGCGGCCCTCTGCGGCCACTGGCTGGCACTGTGGCTATCAACAGATCCCCGGGCCACTTTCTAGGAGGTCTCAGGGAAGACTATAGTTTCTATAGGGAAAAAACACCTCCTCACCCCCGTTGGTTGTCCTATCAGAGCACATCTTTGTTCCCTTTTTCCCATGAAAATCGTAGACAGCACTTTTTCTGGAAGGGCCTGAGGCCTGGCCTGGGGTCTTTTTTTCCCTCTTGCATCTTCCCTACAGCCCAGTACCAGTTTCCAGGACAACAGCCATGAGGCCTTGGCAAGGAGAGCCCTGGGCCTGTTGTCAGATATGAGGAAGGCAGAAGGACCAGGTGACACCAAGGTAAGAGAGCTCGGGCAACTAGAGACCCATCTCAGGGGGGTTAAAGGTCAGCTCCCTCATGGAAACGCTGGTGAACCCTGTGACCCTGCACCTCTGGTCCCAGGACCTGGTTTACGTGGTCCCCCTCATGCCTGAGGGAACTGAGTGTGAGAGGCTGGAGGACAAGAAGCAGATGCTCTTGCCAAGGTGAGGACAGCAGGCATGGCCTCTGGCAGCAAGCTTGGCTGAAGTCCTGAGTGGGAAGTGTTTGGGAGGCAGGCTGAGCAGCAGCGTAGAGGTCTATTGCAGTCCTGTCTGAAAAGCAGGCTGCAAACTGGCAGCCAGCCTTGGGTAGCATGGCAGGTGGGCTGTGGGGGAAGGAAGGGGGAAATGGGTGGGCCCCAGGCTCCCAGTGTCACTTGGATCTTATGCAGCTATGAGTTTTCAAAGCCAGTATCTCTAATGTCTAGAGAGTGGTTCTTGCTGTTTTCCTCAAAGAAATTAAAAACTCTAAGAGGTTAAGACACTTGGCCAAAGTGACACAGGTAATCAGTAGCAGATGTAAAGACTGTCTTGTCCTGTCTCTTTAGGAGTCTGTACTGACCCCTCCCCTCCATCCTCACCCCTTCCAGCCAAGAACTTTGTGAGTTCTGTTCCTTTCTGGATGCAAAGGCTGTGTTAAATTCGAATGCTACCTCTTGAGAGGTCTGGACTATGGCCAAGCCCAGGCCCCTTAGGAGAAACAATGTGCAGAAAAATACTCTGCCATTTGTGCCTTTCTTGTATCTGATGGGTTTTCTGCAGTGATCGGGTTACCAGGAGACTCTTCCAGTCCCCTGGCCCTAAATCTCTCCTTCACTGTCTTCACCTCTCCTAGTCCCCAGCTCTTTTCAGAGTCCCAAAGGGACCCTGAATGTCTCATCTCACTTTCTCACAGTCCTCACTTTTACTGCACTGAGGTCTCGGAGGGGAGCTCTTAAGGACGCTGCTTGGGAATGCTGAGGGCTCAGTCACACTGCAGGGCCACAGGAGCTAGGCAGGGAAGGGTCGCTTCAGCACACCCCTGAGCCTCGAGGACAGGGACACAGGCAGCAGCTTCTAGGGAGGAGCTGTCTTAGCCAGGGTGAACCCCATCCTCTGGGCCTACAGCCTGGAACCCACGGCCAGGTCCCTAGCTGAGAGGAGGGACGCTGTGCTCAAGTGGGAGACTGGCAGAGTAGGGTTTCCTCTTAATCCCCTCAGCCTTTCCTTTTATCTCCGCTTCTAGCTCCATCCTGTCTTGACTCTGTGTCCCTGATCCCAGGGGACAGAGGGCCAGTGGCAGGAAGGCTAAGGGATTAGGCTTTCTTTTTCTTAAGGGGACAGGCTCTACTTTGGCATCCTCATCCTCGCGTGGATCCCGTCTTCATTTAGATGCTCAGCCATCTCACCCACGTCCTCCCTATCTAGCTAGCGGGCTTCAGGCCCTCTCAGAACTGGGGCACTTGGGGCATATAGAAGAGGATGAGAACACCACCCCAACACTCCTGGGTCCAGTGTGGCTGGCACACACCTAGACTGATGCACAGCGGTGAGCCTGGAAGGCTCTCACAGCCACAGCCGAGGTCTCTGGCACAGCCATTCATCTCCCTTGCAGGACTCCTGAGTCCCAGCTTGATTCAGATGGTGATGGATGAAGGAACAGGGCTTGTACAAGACACAACAGTCCCTGGGAGTGAACCGGGGCATCATGCACGTGCTCTACCACTGAGATCTCCTTAGCTATCATTTACTTTACAGCTTACTACTCTTGTACCCAGGCTGGCTTTGAATTTGTAATCTTCCTGCCTCAGTCTCCTGAGTAGCTGGGATTACAGGCCTATGCCACCAGGCCCAGCTTATAGTGGCTTCTGGTAGTACCAGGACAACCATTTATAAGAACCCCAGCTACATTTCCAGGGCAGGCCCTGAAAACCACTTGCCTGGCCGACAGAGCTTGCTGGATCATGAGAATCAAAGTTGTTACATCCCATTCATCTCTCAGCTTCTAGTAGCTGCTCGTGCACTTAAGCTAGGCAGGTGGGATGCTCTAGGGAGGGAGAGGGCTGGGCACCAAGATTCTGTGGTATTTGGTTCCTGATCTCTGTTCTCCCAACAGGTCTGAACATTGAAATCAATCCTGAGCCAACACCAAACCTTGGGGCTTCAAGTGAGGACACATCCAAGAGAACCACTCGACTGCCGGCCCAAAGGCACCCTTCCCGTGGCTGCTCAGGACCAGCTTCTAGAACACAGCTCCTGTCACAGGATAAGCACCACCATTGTTGTTTTGTCACTGGCTGTGCCCGAGATGGGCCTGAACCCTTTAACTGGGCCACGGCCTCACTCCAAGATGACCACCCATGACAGGCCATGCTAGCGGCCTCTTGGAAAGGCGGCCTGCTTTTAGAGTGGAACTCACATCAGGCGTCCTGTGGAACCAACAGCCAGGTACAACAGATGATCTTGGGAGGGCGCCACTCAAGTGTCTCCCGTTTATAAGAGTCCCTGTAACATGTAACGTGTTCCATGTCACAGTGTCCTGTCATGCAGCCAACACTGCCCCCATCTTGAACGAGCCCCAAGTCCCTCTCAAGGGTAGCCATGATCTAGGCCACTCCTAGTACCATGAATGATGGCCGTAGCACCTCTGCCTGCAGCTTCCAGCCTGGACTCTGTGACGGAACTGCTGACAGGTTTAGTGTCAGGTGTGGAGGTCCCAGACTTGGTGATGCCGGTCTTGAACTCCGAGCAGAAGGGGAAGGAGCTGAGGGTCAAAGGTGACCCAGGTGGGAGTCCAGCCAGGGTACCGCAGCCGTCACTCCGGCCTGTGCTGTTGGCGCTGTCTCCGCCGCTGCACGGCCTGGCGCATGGCCTCCCTCAGCTGCTCCTGGTTGTTGCAGAGGTTGTAATGCGTCAGGCGCAACAGCTTGTCCACGTCCTCCCGGCTGTAGGTCACTTTCGTGTAGTGGTATGGGGAGTCGGAAGATGACAGGTTCACCTCCCCGGCTGCCTTCTCCTCCGATGTCCGTGGCACCCCTGTGGGGAGAGGGCATTTGGGGCAGGAGGCCTGGGGTCGCCTGCACGGAGGCATGGCCGGGAGGCGGGCAGCGTGGCTCACCAGGGGCCGAGAAGTCCCGGAAGGAGTCGTTGACCAGAGGGAAGTGTAGCACAGCTGGGGCTTCAGGCTGGGCGGGGTCGCAGAACACATGGCACTCTTGAGGCTGGTGCTGCTCCTCAGGGCTGAGGGATATGGCTGGGAAGGGGATACCCTGCTCCTGGCAGAACCGGCCCACGAGCTGCAGCTGCTGCTGGGCAGGCAGAGGGGCCGTCAGAGGGCTCCCCAGTGTGCTCACTACAAGGCTGACTGAACAAGTATGCACAGGACTTCATGCTCAAAGACCAAGTGGAAGGCACCAGAGTCCCACAGGCCCAGTGGTCTGCCCCTCCCAGGCTCCCCCGAGTTAGTGGCTAACGGCCCTCTGAAAGCTGGAGTCATGACTCCCTTCTGGAGCCATACAGAAACAGCAGCTAGGCCAGGACCTCTACGGGTTTCGGGCACAGGAAAGAGAACAGACCAGTGACTCAGCTCCCTGGGCTCAGGGCAGAGTTCTCCCCCAGCAGGGGAATAACAGAATCCAGCATCCGTGCCACATGCTGCCACTACCGTACCCCCTAATAGAAGCTGGGCCAGATGCTGGACCCTAAAGCAGATCTCATCAGGGGCCCACCACCTCCCCAACCTGAAAGGCTCCGTGGAGGTTATAGTCCAGTGACAAAATGAGGTCCACAGCCCGTGTTGGCCGCAGGAGGGGCGGGCAGCTCGTGTTGATGAAGTAGCCGACATCCAGGAGGCAGAGGTGGGGCTCGGCGGGCGTCAGCTGATTGGGGAGCCCGTCTAGTTTGGTAGCTACAAAGGTTTGGGGGTGGGGTGGGAGAAGCAGCAAGTGTCACTGTGGGTCCAGACTCATGGGGACTGTCCCTGGTGCCCACCACCCTCCCGAAGCAGCACATGCCAGGGGGAGAGGAAAGGAGGTGGGGCGCGTGTGTCCAAAGCTAAGGGACTCGGAGAGCCTGGACAGAGTGTGCAAGCGGACACCTTTCCAGGCGGAGAAGTGACGGTGACGGAAGTAGTCCTTGTGGAAGTGGAGGCCGCGCATGAAGTTGTGGGTGGCCTGGGCCAACGGACGCTTTGTCAGGAGGTCAGCGAAGAACCCGGCGATTCTGCCAGCTGTTGTCGGCGGTTCTTCTATCTTCAGATGGGGGACCTGCTCTTTGTCTGCAAAGAGGGGGTGAGGTGACGAGGGTGACATTAGGAAAGGGAGGCCTCTGGTCCTTTATCCCAACCTCTGTGGTGACGGCAGACGGCGGAAGGGAGGCAGCCGAGATTCACATGCCTCAGATACTCGCAACTGGCTGCCCACCTCTCCTATAGAAAATCCTAAGCACCTACCCAGGCTGGTCTGATCCTGGGCCCAGCGGTCCCAGAACTGGCTGGGTTCGGAGGACCAGTACAAGCTGTCTTGGAGGCTGGCTGCAAACAGGTTGCTCCAGATACCTGAGAACAGGGCAGCAAATGGAAGGTCCTCAGCTGCTGTCACAAGCTGAACCCTCCCTCTCTCTGGCTGAGGTGGGCAAGAATAGGGCCTCCCTCTCCCAAGGCTCATCACCTTCCAGGAAGCAGATGCGGGACTCAGGAAGCTGCTTTACCAGCCGCCCCATGAAGAACTCGGAGCCAAAGAGCTCAGAGGGGATGAAGGCTCCATACTTGGGGAAGCCGACTTCATAGGGAGAAAACTCACACCATTCTGTGAAGATAACATGTACCTCAGCCATGGAGCCTAGGGACCTGGGCACCCAGACACCCACCAGGGACTTTATCTCTGGGAACCAGGGAAGCCACTCACCCCCAAATTCAAAGGTGGTCAGGCCCCGCTCCTTGCTGTTGAGAGCACAGTAGATAGGCAGAGGGTTCTGGCCTCGACTTAGGGCCTCTCGCTGATCTGAGAGTTTGTGTTCATGGGGCTGAGGGAAAGAGCTCAGCCTAAGCCACAGCTTCCTGATGTTCGTCCCACGTGTTACCCAGGGATGGGTCCGCCTCCAGATGGCTTTGCCTTAGCTTTACCAGCCTAGGGCCCAGCCCTCCGCCTACCTTGTCATGCAGCAAGGCTTCATTGACAAGGGCCCACAAGTTGGTGAAGCAGGCCGGGTGACCCTGGTGGGCACGCTCAGCCAGCTCCTGCCGGTACCGCCAAAGCTGGCTGGGGGCCAGTGCGCCCAGCTTGCTCTTTGTCACCTGGGTCTTCAACAACTCAGTGGGCCCTGCTAGGTCCTTCTGAGACCACTCTGGGTCCTCATAGAGGTTGGCCAATGCCCTGAGAAAAGCCAAAGCTTAGGAGTTTGGGAATGTTGTCGCCAAAGGACCCATGTGAACCTTCTTACTCCCTGGAGCCCACTGCACCCTACTGCCAACGTTTTTCCCAGTCCATGCAGTTTGCTCAGGGGCTCATGGGGCTTAGGATGTCCTTCCCACTACATTCCTCCCCTGGCTCAGCAGCCGGCTGCGGCCTCCAGCACTCAGCCCCCAGTCAGCTCACCAGGTGGATCCTGAAGCCCCAGTGATGTAGGAGACACAGTCCAGGAGGCCGAGCTCCTTCAGGGCAGCCAGCTGCCCATATAAGGAAGTCATCGCCCGGATCCCGCCACCAGTGGCCATCACAGCAATTACTGGGACCTAGACAAGGAGAGAGCCAGGTTCAAAAGGGCCTGAGGGCTAGAGAGAGCCACACTCTGGGAAGAGAACATGACAGTCAAGGGGCCAGTCAGTCAAGATGTGACTGAGTCTTGGGACCAGCTCTCTTAGCCCTGTTAGGATCTAAGCAGAAACAGCCTCCCAAAGGTCTCATGCTTTCAAACACCAGGGCTCCCGGAAGAACAGCCTATAACAAGTGCCAGGCTTTATCGCCTATTGGCAGCCCCTAAGGAGTCTAAGATCACTTTCTGGAAGTCCCCACGGTGTCTGCAAAAGCCTCCCAAAGGTCCTGCTCTCCAGTGCTAGAATTCATCCTCCTAGGAGACAACCCAGGCTGCCCTGAACGTCCAAGGACTATTCTGAGCCAAGAGACCACCCTCACACAAGGATGGGTCTAACTCCCTCATCATCAGGGAAGCCGGGTCATCCTCTGTGGAAACTCCCATCTGTGAGGTGCCTCACGTATCACCCTGATAACACCGAGGAAGAGGAACAGGGTGGCGGGGACAAGCCTGAGTAGACAGCAGCTCTGGGCTGCATAACCCTCCTGGCACTGAGCCCTGGGCCTAAGCAGCCTTGAGGAAAACTCCCTTTAGTCCTGCGTAACCCTCAGACCTCGTCCTCCTGCAGGTCTTGATCCAGCTGTAAGGCCTTTTTCAGGGCGGCAGCCACCACCTGCTTCCTCTTGCTTAGGAAGGCCTGCTCCTCCGGGCAGGGCCCACAGCCCAGCCGCACAGCCAGCTCCTTTGGTCTGGGAGAAGGAAAAGACCCAGAAGCAGTTCTCAGCCCAACTATAGGAAAGGAAACTGGTTGGCTTCACCTGCCAGGTCTCTCCTCCCGTGCTTGCTCTCCTCCCTTCTCAGTCCTCACCGGCACTTGCTGTGGAGAGGGGGAAGGAGAACCCAGGGCCGTGCACACACGTGACTGTGGTACTGCGTGACCCCAGGTTCCAGGGCTGAGCCTCACCTGCAAGTCAAATCCCTCCTTCCCCGCAGCTAGAAAAACGGTGACAGAGGACAGAAAAGAAGGCCCTTCCACTTATTTGTGATAAGAAGCCACTCTCCCAAGATGGCAACTCCTCTTCTGAAGGACATTGAAGGTGCCTCAACAGCCTCCATGCCAAGGGGCATCCCTCTCCCTTCTTGACGTCCTTGCTCTCTGTATCTCAGCCTCTGGCATTGTCCTCAACTCCCTCCTGCTTATCTAGGTAGACACTGATCCTGAGTTTCCCAGGATGGGGTGCTGGGCAGGCCCCAACCCCATACTGTAGCAAACCCTAGTGGGAATACTAAGAATAGCCTGTCCATGCTGAAGCCTCCCCCTGACACAAAGCCCCACGGACCCAGGAGCTGCTTCGTCTCCCCCTCGCTGACCCCTCCGGGCCAGACTGACCCTCACCACCCTGCCTGGGTGCCATGCCCTGCTCTCCCCCTCCCCAGACAGCTCCTTACCCTTCTTCCTTCTTGAGTTCCAGCCTCATCAGTGGCTCCTGGAAACCATGAGGTCCATCATCAGAAAGGCTGGCTACCTCTACCCACTGTGGCCTCGGTGCATCCCAGATCATCCATCCCATGAACCCTTGGGCCCCAAGCACTTTCCAGGGTCCACACTTCCACCCATTGATTGCCTGGGTCCATGGTTGACTGCCACGCCAGGCCAGGGCCAGTGACAGCCCTGTCCTTGAACCCAGCTTCTCTAGGTGGCCAGTACCTGAGACGTGGGGAAGACGAGTCTCACCAGCTGTGAAGGGGGTAGGGCTCGTAGGGGCACCTTCAGTTGCTCTTGGGGCTCCTCCTTAGGAGTAGAGGGAGAAAGGACCCCATGAGTCATTACTCCTCCTTTCTTGGCAAAGAGCCCACCAACTCCCCGGGGCAGGGACAGAAGATCAGTAGGGAAGGGAACAGGAAGCTAACATCCCCGTGTGACCTGACAGGAGGAGTGCAAGGGAGGGAGTGGGGCAGGGAGAACACAGCTCAGGTTAGGCTCGAGGGTCCCAGGAGCAAGGCACCTCACCTGCAAATGAACATTCAGATCTTGTTCCCAGCAGGCTGGATAATGGAACTGGAAAGAACCAGTGCCCACAGTGGCATCCTGTGGGCCCTCACAGGCCCCAGCAACCATAAGCTGAACTCTGCTCTCTGACCCTAAAAACAGGAACCAGAGCTGAAACTTGGGATAGGATCTCCGTCCATGGAATTCCTTATCAAGTCTGCAGGGAGGTCCCTCGCTGACATGGTCTGGTTGGAGAGATGGAGCGCTGGGGAGCCCCAGCACGAACCTGCCTCCCAACCTTGGCCTCTGGGACCCAAGTGGAAGGGCTGCCTAAGGAAGATGAAGCTCACCCTTTGGGTCTCCTGTCCTCTTCAGTTCAACATGCAAGCAGGAGAGTTCCCGGGCCTATGGTCAAAAGATCTCCTTAGACACAAGTTGTAGCCCCTCTCTGGGACTACAACTTGTGGGCTCCTGGTCCTGCTCCCCAAAATGTTACTACATCACCCTCAGTCACTAAGCATTTGCCTGAGATTTACTCTCGCAAGTATGCATAGCAAGGTTCCCAACTCTGCCAGGCTTTGGTAGGCCTACTTCAGGCGTGGGAAAAGAGACAGCGTGAGGGATGAGCCACGAGGGGAAACCCTGGGTTTCTCACTCACCACCAGGATGCCATTGCTGATGAGCTGTTCCTCACGGTCTGTCCTGGAAAGAGGCCCCAGTGACTCTCTGCAAGAGCCCAGGTTTTCCTCCTCTACCGGGGAGGGGTGCCAGCCTCAGTGAGCTGGCATTGCCCTTCCCAGAAGGAAGCGCTCCATGGCTACCCACCAGGCCCCGTCCCAGCCCAACTCACAGAGTCTGCAGCCGAAATTCAACTTCCAAGCGCCCATCCTCCTAGAGAGAGAAGCAAGTGAGAGGGACTGGTAACCCAGGTGACGGGGTTGCTGCTGAGGCCATAGCGGTAGGGAAGGCCGTCTCTTAAGGCCAGGTCACTCTGTCTACACTCCCTGGGCTGCTCCCAGGGAGCTGTGCTTCTGACCAGAAGGTGAGAAAGAAGTTGAGGACAGGACTACTCCTCAGTGAAAAGTCACTCGGGATCGCTGAGCTCCTCTCTGGAGCGGGGGAGCCCCCAAAACCCTGTCCCCAGAACTGGGGAGCCCTACTTCTCTGAGCACAGCTTTACCTGAGCGCTCAGTGAGAAGCTCTGGTGCCGGGACTCCCCAGCTCGTAGAGTCCCCACGTCAAAGAGCACTGACAACACGGGGTCATCTTTGGTCAACAGGTCCTTGTCAAAGACTTTCAGTTCCACAACATTCTGGAAAAGGCACACAGAGAGGCAGCTATGGGAGGGAGTGGGAGGAGAGGTGAACATGGCAGGGGATGGCAGAGGATGGCAGACTAGGAGACACAGGTGGCCACGGAGCACGGGGACAAGGACAGGGCCAGACCTGATGCCTGGGGCTACCTTGAGCTGCCTGTGGATCCGGAAGTGGAAGTTCTGATTCCAGACAGGGTTTCTGCTGTTCTTGACCGTGCGTGTCTGCAGCGTGTGGCTGGAGGCCGTGGGCAGGTCCAGAGTCACATAGCAATCAGAGGATGTCACTGCAGGAAGGAACACGTGTGTGTCTTGTAATGATCAAGAACCCTTCCCAGCCCACCACAGAGTCTACTTCCTTCTTCCCGAGGCTTCCAGTCCCTAGGGCTCAGGCCCCTGCGGGACCAGCCCAGCCTTCCCCCGCAGCCCCTCCCCGCTGGTACTCACTACTGGGGATCAGCCCCCCTGCTGTCTGCTCAGCTAAGGGCTAGAAAAGCAGCGCGCTTACCTAGGTCTTTGGCAGGCAAGCCGTGGGCCTGGAGGATTCGTACAGTGAGCAGGCATGTCTCCGGCACCTTTGCCTGCAAGATGGAGGGGGCGGGTTTGCTATAGGTGGTTGGGGGCACATGTGATAGGGCCACAGGAGGCTGGGACCCGCTCTCACAGTTTAATTCTCCACCAGAAGGACCACCTGCACCCGTCAGAATCCCAGTGACAGGAGACATTGTAGCTACATGAAGACACCTTCTCATAATTATATGCCACTCTGCGCCAACCCCCTCCCAAGAGCTCGGCACACATTTATTTATTTGTCACACCGTCTGAGAAGGGTGCTAGGACAGTGACCAATCCTGAGAAAAAGCTGAGGACGCGCTCTGAGGACGCGCTCTGAGGCCTGGTTAGGATCAGAACACAGGCAAGCTAGTGTTCCACTTTTTCTGGGTACGGAACCCTTTGTCCTCTTGTCCCATTGCCCCACCACCCTACCACACCCCCACTGAGAAGCTTTGAGGCTGGTCTGAACGGTCAGGGACTATAAGCCTTCAAGGGACAGGAAGGAATACACTGGGGCTGAGGCACCATGAGTGAGCTGCAACTTTTGCTGTCTACCCCATCCTGGAGATGGATTCTGCAAGGCTGGGAGAGCAGCTACCAGCCCAGATCACCAACACACTGGGTGTCAAGATCTGGTGGGGGTCTCCAGAGCCCCCTCCAAATCCCCTCTGCTTTTGGAGATATGGACACTTGCCAATGTGCCAGGGCACAGGAAGCCTGTGCCACCTGCTCCTTCTTTTTGGTCTTCAGCCATCTCTCTGGGAAGGTGCCAATGGTCAAAGTTCAGGGAGCTCCATGGTAAGGGGCAGGGCTGAGGAGTTCATCTCTGGGGCATCCCAGGGACTCCCAGGTGCCAAGCAACCAAGTCAGAAGCATGAAGCAGCCACTTCTTTCTAGGGCCCCCAGGATGGCAGGTAAGAGCCTCAGAGTTCCAGGGGTTCAAATCCAGGCAGTTCTGCCTGGAACCCATTCCCAGGGCAGAGCCCATCCCAGTTCTGGTCTTGCCCCCTGGCTTCTATGCTGTCTGGTCCTAAAGCTGGAAAGTATCCCTCCGTTTGCTTAGAGAAGCCCACAGCTCTCCTTAGAAACAGTAGCCACCAGGCCCTGAATGGGGTGCCAAGTCAGAAATGGGAGCCCAGTGCCCTATGGAGTCTTACCAGAGCCATGAGACCAAGTCCACAGGAACAGGAATGATGGGGCAGTGGCTACAGGACCATCAACTGTTGGCTTTAAACCCAGAGCCAAGGTGAACCAACTAGCCACACATTCCTCTTGAATCCCTCCCACAGACTCCTCCACTCCTCCCAAGCCCCACGCCCACTGCTGACCCAGCCACCTGCCCAGGAAGTGAGACACCTTAAGCCAATGCTGGAGTCAGTGACACCTCCTGGAGTTACCACAGGCTCCCTGAAGTCCATTCTCTGCAGTTGTTGCTGGCTGGGCCAGCCAACCAGCCCTAACTTAGAGGAGGGGGTTCTGGGAGAACTTGCTGCCAGAGGCTGAGCAGGACAGCAGACAGTGGCCCCCCAAATCAGCAGTGAAGAGTGGGGCTGAGCATCATGTCGTTGGTGGGTTCTTTCGCAACCTCCTTCCCAGTACCAGTATGACAGGAAAGCCCAGTCTGAACTGCAGCCCTGGGCAATCTCAGAAGAGAACCTCAGGCCCCATCACAGCCTTGTGAGGAGTGGCTCGCACATAAAACAGCCCTTCAAAGCCATGTCTAGGCTGCCTCCACCCCTGGAACTGGGTGGCCTGTGGGTTGGCATGCAGGGGTAGGGGCTCTTCCTGCTCTTCAGCCGGGTGAGAGAGGAGTCAGGGTGTCAACCCTTTCCTCAGAGAGCAGCTCAGGAGGTACATGGTTCCTGTCCCTTCCTGTTTATACTTGTAGAACGGGGTCACCCTCAGGGCTCCCTAGAAAAGCAAAGACTCTGGGACAAGCTAGACAAGCTAGCATTGGTGGCCCTGAGCCAATCAAGTTCCAGGCAGCCAGTTACACCACAACTACCGTGGGCAGCATCGCAGGCTTGGATCTGGCACTTAGGGTCACCCTGAAACCTTTACCTGAACCTTCAAGCCCTCAGCAGGCCATGGAAGGCAACTGTGATGGGAAATATGAGAACAAATACATCGACGGCATCTTTTATTGACTGCTTCCTCTGTGTTGGCCCATGTCTCTTTCCACAACAGCCCTGGGAGCTAGAGCCATTATTATCCACTTTACAGCCAGAGGATTGATGCTGCCATGCAGTGACTCAGCCAAGGTTATGACTGCTGTACCCGATCACCCCGTCACCTGTGTGGCAACTTCCTGGGCATCCTCACCCAGACCTGCCTGGCATCTCCTGGTCCTCCAAGTTCCTTCAAGGATGATCTCAACGCAGGCAGGAACCTGGGCGGCAGCCAGTGCGTAGTCAAACTCCAGGCTGCCTCAAGAATCAATCCCCCCTCCGCCGCTGTCCTCTGCAGTGTCTGTGGGGGTCCCACTATTCAAGGCCTGCGGCCCTAGTAAGGGAGTCCATCAGCTGGAAGTAACTATACTTGAGGTCATACTCCATGTCATACCAGAAATTCACTGTGGAGAGGAGAGGGACCTAGATGTGAGGCCCCTCTTTTAAGCCGGAGCCACCCCCACCCCAATACCTTGCTGGGCCATGACAAGGCCTGCCCGCTGGCTGCCCCTTACCAGCAAGGCAGCCGTGGGACTGCTGCACATGGTGGAACCACAGAGCCGGCAGGTACAGCAGCTCGCCGGCACGCACTGTGCAGTGGAGGGCCCGGGCCCGGCTGTAACTAGGGTACCGCACCAGATCTGGAGCCAAGGGGTCCAACGGGATCCAGGGCACCTAGAGACACAGCAGCTGCCTGGGAGCAGGCCCTAAGGCACCCACGGGCTCTGGCTCTCTCCCCTCAGCCTTGAAGAGGCACAACCCAGGGATTTCCAGAGTGGATGCCACCTCCCCAGGCCGTGGGTGCCTATTCCCCCTCCCCACAGCCCAAGAACAGGACAGACACCTTCTCCATGGCTTCCTCATCCACCACCCTAAAAGTGCCCTCTTCGGTCAGCTGGTAGGTTGCTGGTGTGTATAGACCTGAAGGCAAGGTTAGGGAGACAAGTGACCAACAGCTGGTCAGACCCCCAACACCATAACCAGCTCAGTGTTCCCTTCACGCAGAGAATGGAGGGCTGGGGCTCCGTGGCTGAACCCCAGCCTGGGCACCCAGCCTACCGTGGGCTCATGCTGGGCTGCCTCCACCAGTGGCCACCAGCTCCTATTAGCTCATGTTACCTACCGTAGGGGATGAAGGGCCGGTCGCTGGGCGGGTGTAACAAGAAGCGTTTCTCGCCAGAGACCACACAGTACAGATTCTCATAGTGGTCCTTGTGCACTGCCGACACACGGAAGGCCTGGAGTTGAGGGAAGGAAAGCAGCCCCCCCCCGCCCTCAGCCCCACACCCCAACAGAGCCTACAGAGAAGGGAGAAGCCTACGGAGGGCCAGCGGACTTGGGGAGATTCCAAGGACTCCAGCAAGCATCACAGCCGGCTACCAGCGACTGGATGCGGGGCCCCCTTCGTCACGTCAGCAACAGGCTCTGCTTCCTGCGCTCAGTCCTCCCATCTACCTTACTTTTGAGGAGGCTTCTAGAGACCCAGCGGGTATGGTGCACCCTGCCCCCCAATGCCCCCGTTCTCAAGAGAGACTCTCTGTAATGTCCACGATACCAGTGGAGAGCCGAGGGAGCGGCTTGCCCTTCTTTCTCCCCTCTGCCCCACCAGCGCCCTCCCTGCCTCGGGGGTCTCCACACCTACAGGAGGTCACTGCAGCTGCCTCCCCCAGCCAGAAGTTCACAGCATCGGGCATCTTTCCTGTGGGACGCAGCGAGTTAGTGCCAGGAGGAGGAACATCATGCAGAGGGCAGCTAGGCAGAAATCTAGATGGGGGCAAGGGAGAGCAAAGGAGTCTGGGAGAAGGTGAGACTGGGAGCGTGCAGAAGAGGCAGCAGCCCCTTTTAGGGTATCTGCTCTTTTGTCAAGGCATGGGGCGGGCAGGTAGGTGGCACTTGACCCCACAGAACCAAAACCAAAAGGCAGACAAAGGGCAAGCAAGCTGAACCCTTTCTCCCCACTTCATCCCCATGCCCCCTCCACTCACCCAGTGACTCGGAGGCCCAGGGCACATGGGACTCAATGTCAGCCAGAAGCTGGGGCAGCTCAGTGGGCAGGTTGGAGCACTGTTTCTGTACGTAGAGGACCCCTGGGTGCTGGGCCTGACCCTCTATCACATCGAGCACGCGGCTTACGGGGAGGCGGCGCTCGGCAGGCATCACAAAGCGGTCCCCACGGACAGCATCGGCATAACCATCTGGGGTCACGGCCACACTCACCTCGGTGGAGCCCACCGTGGCTCTGAAGAAACGAAAGCCTGGTCTGTCGTCTGCGGTTGATGACCACTGGTCCACCCCGCCCCCGAAGGAACGCCTTACCTCAGGTAGGGCAGAGACCACTTCCGGAGGGCTGGCCAGTGTTGCAGAGCATTGCGGATAATGCAGGGCCTATTGGGGCACACCCAATCCCGGTAGAAGCAGAGGGGACTTGGAGGCTCCTCCATGTAGGGCACAACACGAGGCACATTGAGGTCTTAAGGAAGAAACGGGGGTGGCGGTGGTTAATGGGAGCCAACTTCTGTCACACTGTCTGCACAAGAAACCCTCCCTCACGGACATCCTAGGCAAGATTGCTGCTGGCCAAGGAAGCCTGTAGAGTGAAGCCCTCGGTTCTTTACCCTGGAGATGCAAACTCTCAGCAGCGTCCATTAGGAAAGGGAATCACTGAGCTGGTGGCCACAGGCTAAATGGGGTGGGGCCTGGCTCTGGGATGGCCCCCATGGACTCACGGGTGTGACTGCCTGGCCCATAGGGAGTAGTACTATGAGGCGGTGTGGCCTTGTTGGAGGAAGTGTGTTGCTGGAGCTGGGCTTTGAGGTCTTAGAAGTTCAAGTCTGGCCAGTGTGACAGTTTCTCCTTGCTGCCTGTGGATCCTGACGCAGAACTCACAGTTCCGCGTCTGCCTGCATGCCACCATGTTTCCTGCCACGACTGTAACGGACTAAACCTCTGAAACTGTAAGGCAGCCCCCCAACTGTTTTCCTTTACAAGAGTTGCGGGAGTCATGGTGTCTCTTCACGGACCCAGTACTGGGCCTGGCCAGTGTGGATATGGGAGGACGATCCCAGTTTGCAGCCTATCTATCTAGAGAGGTAACTGCCCAGCCACAACAGCAGAAGACAGGTGGGGGCTGAGGTGAGCTCAGGGCCTCATGGAACAGCCGGCAGCATCCTTAGCCACCAAGGACCAACACTTGTGCACTGTGCCACCTATGGAGACATTTTAGGTGGCTCTGTGTAGCCCTTAAACTGATATGGCGGCTCACATCCATAAACCCAGCACCTGGGAGGTGGTGGCCGGACCATCAGTTCAAAACCACCCTCAGTTACATTGTAAGTTCAAGGTCATCCTGTGTGTGTGACACCAAACCTGGCTCTGAAATCTTTTATAATATACCCAATCCCACCCTTGGCCTGGCCATCTCTAAGTCCACCCTTTCCTTCCCTCTGCTGCTTTAGGTCCAATGTCACCCTGATGAAGCTTCCTTTCCTGACCACCCCCTTTTAAAGTGCCACTTGTTAGAAACAATCCTCATCTCCTTGCCTAGTTAGTGTTTCTCCACAGATTTATCATTACCTGACCTTGTATGTTTTCTTTCACCCATTTGTTTATTGGTCTGTCTCAGCAGAACAGAAACACCACAATGGCTTGAATGAGTGTCATGTTTCCAAGCGCATCTCTACAATAGCACCGTAGCACACAGTAGGTGCTCAGCAAATATTTTTCAAAGTCAAATGAAAGTGACGCACACCCTGACTGGTGTTTCTGGTGGCATCCCACTCCCTCTCAAGAACAGCTGTCATCTGAACTGCAATCTCACCTTGTCACACAACTAGAGAAGGATCCTTTGGTGGCTCACTGGCCGAACTCAGTCCATGTCTGAGCCCAGCCCATTTCTTCCCAGTCTGCTTTGTTCCCGTCTCATGCCTAACCCTGACCACATGCCCTTTGCTCTGGCTGGACTGTTCCTGCCGCTTACTCTCTTGGCTTTTAGAGAGCACAGCGCATCGCTTTGTTAATGTTCAGCCTTAATGTCTGACCAAAATGCTTTGGTCCCAACCAGCACTTAATGCAACTCTTCACAAATTTACCCCCTAGAGCATGCTCACAGTTACAGCTCCAGGCTGACTACCCTGCCTTGCAATCAGCCAGAAAATGAGTGTCTTTAAATTGGAAATTGGAACCTGTGGTGGTTTGAATAGGTTTGGCCCATGTGTTCGAGTGCTTAGCCATAGGAAATGACACTATTAGGTGTGGCCTTGATGGAGTGGGCGTGGCACTCTTAGGAGGTGTGGCCTTGATGGAGGAGGAATGGCACTCTAGGGAGTGTGGCCTTGCTGGAGGAGGAAGTGAGGCACTGTACAGGCAGGCTTTGAGGTCTCCTACGCTCAAGCTCCATCTACTGCAGAATCAGAGGCTCCCCTGGCTGCCTTTAGATCAAGATGTAGAACTCTTGACTTCTCCAGCACCATGTCTGCCTGGATGCTGCAATGATTCCCGCCATGGCGATAATGGACTAAACTGCAAACTGTAAGCCAGCCCCAATGAAACAGCCTTTATAGGAGTTGCCCTGGTGTCTCTTTATAGTAATGGAACCCCTAACTAAGAACCACGTGAGAAGTCATTGGTGGGCCAGGAAAACTGCAATGAAAACAGCTAGTTATGTGCTTGCTGCCCTGAATAGGGTTAGAATTACCAAGCAGACAGGGGAGGGCAGCAACTCCACAAAGAAATAGTCATAGAAGGGAACTGGGGTCCAGGACACCTGAGTTACCCTTTGGGATCTGACTGTTTTGCAAAGCTTGAGATTGAACCCAGGATCTCCTACATGCTAGGAAAACACTACCTCTGTTACTCTACCCTGGAGTTTAAGAATATGCAGAGACTGCCATTTGTTTGTTTGGGTTTCTTTGTTTTTGAGACAGGGTTTCTCTGTGTAGACCAGGCTATCCTGGAACTCTGGGATCCTCCTGCCTCTGCCTCCTGACTGCTGGATTAAAGGCATGGCTCCCTACCACCTGGCCTGAAACTGCCCTTTTCTTTCCTTTGGATTTTCTGTAACTATGTCAGTTGTATTTGCACACCATTTCCTTCAGAGACTGACTATTTTTTCCCCCTGGAGCTTCAAACTGGACTCCAAACAATTCCTTTGACCCAGGAATTCTGTTAAGAATTTATAACTGGGGCTGGAGAGATGGCTCAGCAGCTAAGACTCCCAGCACCCACCTGGCAGCTCACAACTGTTTATCACTCCTGTTCCAGAGGATCTGACTCCCTCACACATGCAGGCAAAACACAAATGTACATAAAATTAAAAAATAAAGAAGAATTTATAACTGACAAAAATAAACATAGACACAAAGCATGTTCCAGGCTTAGTCCTCACTGGTCCCTGTACACTGCAGGGACACGCCCTTCGAGGGCTCCATTGACTCTGCAACCATCCTCTGACCCAGTGGTTCTCAGCCTTCCGAACACTGCGCAGCCCTTTAATATAGTTCGCGTGTGGTGCTTGCTGCCCTGAACGCCCAACCATGAAAGGATTTAATTGCTACTTCATAACTGTAATTTTGCTAGTGATGAGTCATAACGTAAACATCTGACAGTCAGGATATCTGACATTTGACCCCTGTGGGGTCACAACCCGTAGGATGAGAACCACTGTTCTAACCACTTTCTGTGTGACACAGCTGGTAACATAATTGTTTGCTCCCTGAGAATGGAAGCTGGATGGAGACAGAGCTCTCTCTCCCCTCCTGTGTGTGGAGACAGAGCTCTCTCTCTCTCTCTCTGCGCGTGTGTGGGGGCGTATGCCTGTGCATGCATGTGGGGAGGCAGTTGGCATCAGGTGTCTATCCTTCTCCACTTTATTTTCTCAAAGTCACTGCATCTGGAGCTCATCAGTTGCTAGGCTGGCTGGCCCCTGGGGTCCTCCTGCCTCTACCTCCAAGCTCCGGAACCCCTTCAGACATGCACCATCACCACACCCAGCGTCTTACATGGGTGCTGGGGATCTGGACTCGGATCATCTTGTGCTTAAGCACTTTACCCACGGAGCCATCTCTCCAGCTCGTTTAATGATGTAACCTAAATCCCCTCTGGCTGCTGAGATGGCTCAGCAGGTAAAGGCACCGGTTGCCAAGTTTAACCACACAGAGCATACACATTCTGGCACCCAGAGATACTTAAGCTTTGTTAAATAAAGTCATATATTCGTAGACTTACTTAAAACCGGTTAAAATACCTGCCTATCAATAATGGGCACACTGGTTCACAGGTGTGAAAAATCGAGGCAGAGGCACCTGGGATGCCCTCTAAGACAGAGCAAAACCTGCTTAGTAGATTTACAGTAAAACAGTTTCTCTGGAAAGACAGAATTGGGAGTGAAGCTTATTTTAATTTACATTACGAACAAAGGTGCCTGCACTGCTGTTCAGTAAGAGATGATTTAGCAAAAAGGAAAAAAACAAAAAAAAGGAATGAGGTACTGAGGAGCAGAGGAAGAAGAAACATAACATCTAATTGAGGAACAACCAAGACCGTTTTGTGCGGCTGCCTACACTCCTCAGAGCTTGGAGTCTGAATGAGCAGGCCGACTGCTCATTCAGATGCCCCCCCCCCCCCCCGGCAGCCGGGACATTAGAGGCTCTGTACCGAGTGCAGCAGAGCAGAGCACGGGACTCAGCACCCGGCTGGCTTTGAGAGTGACGCTGTGACTAACGTGGGAGCGGCGCTGGGCGGGCAGTCGGGCGTGCGAGCTGAGGAATGTGTGGCCACCGGTCGGCACTCCTGCACACACGATCCGAGTTCCCGGCACCCCCGGCTCCCTCCACGTTGTCCTGGCGCGGACGCTGCTGCCTGTGAGTCCACTCACCGCGAGCCGCCGCCGGGAACTCTTGCAACGCCCTCCGCACCGCGTCCAGAGCCGCCTCCGCCATGAGGGCCGCGGGAAGAGAACCCGCCCCTATTTCCGCTTCAGGGCCGCAGCCCCGCCCCTGTGCCCACCCTCGCCCCGCCCTTCGAGGAGGAGCATGGAGCGGCGCCTTCTTCGGAATTTGCTAGCCAGTTAACAAATGATTGTGTTTATTGACAACTTCATACATAGGTACAAATGAGACGTTAAAACAGCCCCCACCCCGTACGGCCGGGGAGGAGACAGGCGCCACAGTATAAAAGTTATAAATAAGGGGCTTTCAAAACTGGGACGGGGCAAATCCGGACGTGGGCAGCAGTTGCCAGTGGCTTCAGACATGCAGAAGAGGACAGCGCCGCTGGCCACAAGCCCCCACCCATGCAGGGTAGAGGCGCAAGGAAAGACCCGCTCCCTTGAAAAGGGCAGGCTAGCTAAGGACCTCTAAGAGCCTGGAGGAGGTCAGGGTAGCCCTACTGCAGTGGGCGGATTTGCTAACCCTCAAGCTGCCAATGGCTCCACCTCCAGCTGTTACAGTTCTTTGGGCTAGGGGTTTGGCTATGGGGGTGGTAGAAAAAAAAATGGGAATAAATGGTTTGGTGTACTCAGGACACTCAGGCTAAACCAACAAAGCTAAGCACCCATTAAAACCCAGTTTCCTTCTAGCTTCTGCCTTTGCGGGTTCTACAGATCTTTGTAGTCCAGGCCTGGTGAAAAGTCACTCTGCCTTACCTGATGGAGGAGGAGGGAGGGCCCAGACACACACATTCATTCCAATTCTGCAACCATCTCACTAATTGCTCCGACCTACACCTGCCTATGCCTTTTCTTCACCCTCTAACAATTACAATTCTATCCCCCTACCTCTGCCACCTACTTGTCCACCTCTTAACTTTTCCAGTGTGTCTCTTGCCCAGAGCCCCAACTCCACAGCCTCCACTATCCAGTATCTCTGGACGCCCAGCACTGTCTTTGAAAAAGAGCCTCCTCCGCAAGCCAGGTGTCCCAGAGGCCATGTCCTGTCAGCCTGGCTGCAGGCACCAAGAACCCAGAATTTAAGTTTAGTGTGTTCCATTCCTTTCCATATTTCCGGATAAGAGTTCTAACTAATCCAGGCTAGTGAAGCTGGGGCAAAATGCAAAGAAACCAGGGACACACAAGCCAGGCAAGTATTCTAATAATAAGCGCTCAACTCTGTATTCAATTGTGGGGGGGGGGGGCAAGGTTCTAGGAAGGTGGGCCAGTGCCCTGTAAACCATGAGGGTACTTCCAATACAAGTTTCTGATTGCGCGTTGCCCAGGCTGTAGGGAGAAAAGTGGTCCTTGGGACTTCAACAGTCCACTGGAGACAGGGCTGGAGAACAACCCTGAGGAGAATAGGCCAGGCTTTATGTTTGCCCAGTGGAGGGCTTTACTGTCCTGCAGCAAAACCCACAACCAGCTCCACAAGGAAAAAAAAAAAAAGGATGGGGTAGAAGATGCTGGGGCTCTCTTGCAGGAAGAACGGGAGTGGAATGTGGGGCTCAGGTCCTGACACCAACTCAAGTCTTGTAATGGCTGGGAACACCCTGGAGGTCAGGCAGCAATACTTTTCTCAGCTGCCAGGAGTTGGGGAAACCACCCCTGCTCTGACAGCTGGAGGGAGCAGCTGCCGTGGGAGTAGAGGTAAAGGTTACAGTTGGCTCTAGGGCCCTCCATACCACGTCACCTTTCATCTCTACCCCAGAGTACCCTGTGTATGCTCCACCCCAGGGAGCTGATCCCTGAAGTAACTTCAAATGGCTTCTAAGAAGAGAAGGCCAGCCCTTCCCAGTGTCCCCAGATGAGGCAGGCTGCCCTGCTACCCCTCACAGCACCAAGATGACAAAGACTCAAGATCTGTCCTGCTAAGAGCCACGGGATGGGCTTTAGAGGCAGGAGTCCCAAGGAAGTGAGGCAACAGTCAGGGAAATAAATTAATAAATACAGGGGCCCATGAGGAGCAGCTGGGAAGGCTGCTTTGCCTCTGAGCACTGATCCCTGCTATCCACTCCAGACATTCTCACAGATTTTGATGAGTGGACGAAGGGCTAGAGTTTGGAATGGGGAGCATTTCTCTTGGGACAGGCTTGAGGAACTCAGAGTCTGCGCTCCATGCGCCGCTCCACAGCTCGAAGCAATAGCTCTGAGTACTGCTCCAACAGGGCCTGAGTTTGCTCAGCCCCCACAGCCCCAGGGCTGCCACCTGGGCTGGACAGCGCAGCCCCGGCCAGGGCCTCCAGCTCCTGCCGCACGGAGGAGAAGGTGTCTCTCAGGAGACGGGTGATGTGACTCTGCTCTGCTGAAGGTGTCTTACAGCTCGTCACCTGCAACAAGAACACAGGAAGTAAAAAGGAAGAACAGTAGAGAGTGACTATAGAAAAGGCGGATCTACAGGGGCCTAGCCTGCCCAGGAGAAAGGACTGCCTGGCGGTTCCACACACAACATCACTGTGACCCAGATAAGGATCCCTCCAGACTAACAGAACCATCTACTTCTGCTTGACCACTGTACCCAATAAGTCACACAGGCTGTAATTTTTTCTCTTTCAAACGTGGCACTGTAAAAATTGTTTCTGTATCTAAAGTGCCCAAACCATTTTGGGATATAAAAAAAAAGCATTTCTATTAATAGTTACACTGAGACAATAGGCATGGATTGGGATTTTCTTGAACAATATGGTATTCAAAGCTATAATCCCATATTGAGGGCTCTACTTCTTAGCCAGATCCTGGGGCTGAGAGGCCTGGCTCTGACCCTCTCATCAGCCAGTACGCTGATGAACCTTTACTGTTCTAGACAGACACTCAGCTGTCACACATCGAGCAAGCTGGGCAGGCTGTCAGCCCACCCGTTTCTGCCCACTACTCACCGAGCGGTAGAGGTGCACGGCCTGGTGTACATTCCCCCGGAGCTCTGCCACAAGCTGTTCACACTGTTGCAGGCTCAAGGCCAGTTCTGAAGGACAAACACCAGGGAGGTCCAGCTGCTCTTTCAGACACCCCAACCTAGGCTCTCGGCAGTGCTGTCATCCGCAGCAGCCCATGGTCCCCGCCTCTTGCTCCGCTCTCAACACCTTCCCCGACACCACACAGACAAAGTGCAGAGGGAAAAGCCAGCCCTCGCTCTACCCCAGCATCTAGAACACACTAAAGGGCTCGGTGGGTCATAGGGAGACGGTGAAGCGGGCAGGAGTGTCTCACCATCAGAGGTGTGACTTACGGACCAAGACAGGAGCAATACGACAAAAAAAAAAAAAAAGCCAAAGGCTGAACACACAGAAATGAGATGGAGCCAGAAAAGTGGCCAAAAGAGAGAATGGGATGAGATGAGACTAGAGAGCATTGCATACCTGGGTCCTGGCTCGGGGCTGCCCCTGGCCTGGTGCCTTCCATGGCGTTAGGAGTCTTCTCGGGGGTTGGGGGCTGCAAGCGCTCAGGGCCTTGGAGGAGGTTGCTGACTGGCAGTTGCTGGGCACAGGGGTGTTTGGGGCTAGGATGAGCTTGGCACTCTGTCCTAGGTTTATGAGTGGTTCCCTCCCCTAAACAGGCTCCTCTTTCAACCACAGTGTGAGCCTTTCCTAGGTTCACCAGGGAGCCAGACTGTTCTGCTTCACTGTGGACCAGGACCTTGGTAACAGGTGAGAATGTGGTCAGAGTAGGACGGTCAGGAAGTGGTTTGGGGATGTCCAAAACAAGGTGAGCCCGGCTAGGTAGAGCTGGTTTGTTGAATGGTGAGATTCGTGCTGGTGTAGGAGCTTGAGGTTCAGCAGCCAGGCCTGGGTTCTCACCAACAGAAATGCTGCGAGCTAGCTTGGCCATAGAACTGGTGGTGGGGTTCTGGTAGGAGTGGGGCCGAGATGGGTGGCCATCAGCTTGTGGCAGGGATCCTAAGCTGCCTTGGATTTCCACCTCCCGGGAGGGCAGTGGACGCGATGAAGGCACCTCATCTGCATTGGAGACAGGGACAGATGCAAGTCAGGTGGTGAGGAAGGTATGCCAAATGCTAGGGCTCAATCCCTAGTGGCTACTCCCCCTGGCCCATACTTGACCACTAAGGGACACGCAGTGGCAGGCATGGTGACACGCCAGGGCCACACCAGCCCACCTTCCTCCAGCACGCCCACATACATGTCCCCCATCCCCCACTTCCTGGAGCTGAACTCAACAGGGTCCTCACCGTGTGCTACTAGACAGTGCACCGACTGGGCTTTCTGGAGTGCAGCTAAGGGGCGGGTTGCAGCCACTTTCTTGGGGGCCCAGCTGCTGTCCAGGTTGTTACGACGTCGTGGCAACAGCACGGGGGCCACCCGCTGGGGGCCGGAGTTGCCAGAAGAGGGTTCCTTTTCCGGGGGTGCTCCTGGGGGAGTGGCACCACTGCCTTTTAGCTGCTCACCGGATACCTGTGCCACCTGGTCAGGTCTTGACAAGGTCAAGCTTGAGGAGGACAGGGATGGTTCCCTACAGGGAGAATGGAAAGGGTTCAGAAGAAGGCCCAGAGAAGGCTCAGTGTTTATCTCCCTCTAAGATGGCCAGATGCTCTCATAGACAGAGAGACAGCAGGAGAGGACAGGCACAAAGCAAGACAGGGTTGGAGTGAGGCCACTTGTTTCAAACCCTAAGAGTACAAAGTACCCTTAGGGAAAGGAGAGAAGAGGGCTACATACTATGCCAGGTGCAGGAGCACCAGGTCAGCAGAGCCATGAAGGGGCTGGTCTGTACCTGAGTGGGGAGGTCTGCACTTGCAGCAGGAATCGTGATGAGATGCTCCGAGACTCTGTTCTTTCTTGGACTCGTGCTGGACCCCCTGCAGGAGGCATAGAAATCACGGACTGAGTCAGAAGTTCAGTTCTTGCCTCCCCTACAAAGAAACCTCAGGCACCGCCTGCCAGGCCTCTCTCTCGGCTAGGCATGGCAGAGAGGAGGGCAGACGCAGTAACTGAAGGCTGGGCCCCTCACCACACCTGGAGCAGCCCCATTGGCCAGAGTCTCAAAGTGCTGCTTTAGAAACTGCTCCTGATCCGGGGTATGAGGGCTGCCTTCTTGTAGCCCACAGAGGCCAGTGCCTCCCTCTTCTTCCTCTTCTTCATCACCCTCGGCTGGCTCTTCAAGGTCTGAGGAGATGCCATCCACACTTAGGGGCTCTGTGCTCTCAGAGTCTGGATGTGGGGGAGGGAAGAGGCATCACACTGTACCTATCAGTCATGGGTCTTGCCTCCCCTGCTCCAGCCAATCGTCCCTTTCCTCGTGTTGCAGCCTTACCTTCGTTGGGGTGCTCAGGGCTGGAGAGCCGGCTGCTGCTGTAATCCACAGAGCACGCACTGTCAGGACTGTGCTTCTCTGAGCCCCTGCTGCCTGGGTACACTCTTCCTAGGGACCCTCGGCTTGGAGCCTGCACCTGGAAAGCACTGCCAGGAAGGCCAGCAAAGGAAAGGAAAAAGTGAGCGGGGGTCAGCAGTCTACTGAAGTCCTGCCTGTGAGCACAGTAGGAATGAGGTAGAGGCAGACCCTGAGTGGCTTAACTGAAAAATCTCAGAAGGAAAGCAAGACTAGGGGCTACATGGCCCCCTGAGCCCTGGCCAGGGCACAACCCTTGCCTGGTATCCATGGTGGGGCTGTCACTGGGTTCCGGGTAGACAATACCATCTTCAATGGGTGCAGGCTCCAGATCTTGGGCAAAGACTCCTTCCTCTTGTGACAACAACTGGATAATGTGGGGACAGGAACAGGGTTGGGAAGCCTGAAGCTGGGGGGCCTTTTCATTCTAGAAACACACAAAGAAAGGGGCACTTGTGAGAAGGTGAGAAGAGGGTGCTGAGAGGAGGCAGCAGTAGGCGAGGATTTGGTACGCAGCAGCTCTGGGGACAGGCAGCAGGAGGCCAGGTCCAGCCGGCACTGCAGGCTTCTAGACGAGCCATAGTAGCACTCAGATTGCCAGGCTCTAGGCCACTTAACACCAAGAGGCCTCCCAAAAGCTACCGTTGCCTCCTGGCCCACCCCAGTCACCACACAGCCCAGCCAGCCCTGCTACAGCTGCATTTCAGATGACCCATGTGACAAAGAGACAGAGAAACCATAGATGCCCCATGCTCAAGCCTCAGCTGCTAGCACAAGGCTACCTGAGGCTTCCTGAGGTCTCGAGGGAGCTGGTTGCAAGCTGACTCACCTGGCTAGCATATGAGAGTTCAGGAGCCTGTGGACCATGCTTCCCAGGACCAGCTGGGGACTCAGCCAGTGAGTCCTGGCTGGGGCCTCGAGGGCTTGGGGCCAAGGTCTCTAGCTGTCTCAAGTCCAGCATGGAGCGGACACTCAGCTCCACGCCTGGCTGAGCCCAGCGCCCTCTTCTTTTGGGTCCTGTGTTCACTACAGGAGGTGGGCCCAGAAACTCCATAGTCTCTTGTGCCTGGTGGTTGTAGGTGAAAAAGTAGTAATAGTCAGAATCATGCTATCAACACATACACGTTTGTGTATCTATTTTGTATGAACCTTCTACGCACTAACTTATTTTGTCTCTATAACAATCTTACAGAGAAGGCAGCACAATTATCCCCGGCCCGACACAGGAGGGAAACAGAAGCACAGAGAATTTCAGTGACTAGTCCAAGTCCATGTGGGATAGTGAGGGGCTCAAGAGTGCACACTATGAGCCGCAGTCTAGATCCTCAAAATAGGAACCTCTCTAGTTTCCGCCTTCACCTGGCGTCTTACACAGTCTAGAGGTAGGGCTCTAAATAATCCTATTCTCTGAAGATACCCAACAGAACCAAGAATCCCATCTTAGCACTAAGGACCAACCAACAACGAAGGACTGAGAGCCCAGCGTGGCCAGGGAGCACCAGACTCCATGGCGTTGCCACTCTGTGGGACTGCTACCAACAACACAGAATGCTGGGCTCCAAATCCCAACTTGGGACATGTGAGCACTGCGCTGCTTTGGGGCTTGCTGAAATGTCTATCCCTCTTAGGCACTCTGAAACAGCCACCTAGCAACAGGCCTTCTTGTGGCCTTTCCCCTCTGACTGTTCTGAACTAACTTCCTCATTGGGGTCTTCAGAGCTATAATTTCTCTGGATTTCTACTTGCTGGCCCTTGGATTTCCTGGCCTTTCATTCTAACCATGTGACTCACACACCGTTTTACTCGTCAGCACATGCTGCTTGTTTGTAATTGTTGTCTGGTTTTGTTTAAGCAGTGTGTGTGGCACAGGCCTTTATTCTCAGCTCTCAGAGGCAAAGAAAGGCCTTGTGAATCTCTGTGAGTTCCAGGCCATCCAGGGCTGCATAGTGAGACCATGTGACCATGTCTCAAAACAAAATCAAGCGACTCTTGGAATGTATAGTGGAGCTGAGCTCACCTGGTACAGGAAGGAAAGACTGAGGTTCCCCTTATTCCTTATCCCAGATCAGACCAGCTGCCTGACCTCAATGATAGGCCTTCTTTGGAAACAGGAATGGAGCATGTGGGCAGATCCTATGCCCAAATGCCTCACAAGGGCACAGGGGTCTCTGATGTTACTCTCACTTCTAATACCCCTGGAACCACATTTCAGTGATGGAAACTTACCCGACTCATTTCCCAGTGAGACAGGCTTCGGAGCAGGGCTGGACTAGAGCCTGAGGCCAGACAGAAACAGGCAGTCAGAAGGACTGTTTCCTACCCACCCACCTCTGGGACCAGCATCCCACAACATCCCCTTCCTCTGTGTGACCTCTGTGATGGCTCCATGGTCCAGATGAACTTATCTAACCTCTATACCAGCTAACACCTGTCTGCCTTCCCCACTGCTGCCACAAACCTGGATCTTTCTTGGTGCTCTTGCCAAGGATGGGCAGAGCTGGCAGTTCTTCTTCTTCGGTACCCTCATCTTCTCCCTCCTTGTCACTGTCTGAGGAAAGAGCTGGTCCAGAAGGGGGTATCACTGGAGCTTGGTGCCTGAGTCCAAGAAAAGTCACAGGGAGAGAAGCCTCATGGGTGAAGAAGCCAACACGATGGGCTTTTGCATGAGAAGGAAGGTCTTGGGAGACACTGGCGCTGCTAAATACCAGATTCTACATGGATCAGGGAGATCACAACAAATTATGTGGACAACAATGAGCAGAGTCCATCTCTGTCCCACTTACTGTTTGGGTCCAGAAGCCCTTTGGGGAGAGGTTGGGCCTTGCTGCTTGGACCCTCGCTGTCGCTGGCGCAACTCAGCCAGGCGCTGCCTCATGCTGATAGTCATCTCAGAGCTCAGGCGCCAGACAAATATGCAGCTAGGGTGGAGCACAGCATTGGGTGAGAGGCAGGGAAAGACTCTTGGAGGTAGCAACACTATTCGCCCTACTTCCTGTGCATTGGCAAGGTGACCCGAGACCCCCTCCACTGCTACATCAGGCCCCACCAAGAAATAGCCCTATTCAAACCCACTTCCCAGAGACTTGATGAGAGGAAGTGAGAGGAGGGACAGAGAAGAATCTGCCTCTCAGGGTGCTTCTGCTCACCTGTCCCCTGACACAGAGATGAGATGTTTGCAATCGTTACTAAATTTCATGCCAGTGACAATCTCTGTAAAGAGTAAAGAATATAGTCTATGAACTGTCATGAAGGTCCAACCAAGTTCCTGCCTGTTCCTGCACCGGGGATGCACACTGGCTGAAGAGGAGGGTCAGGTTCTATCCACACTTAGAGGCTTTGTGCTCTAAGAGTCTGATGTGGAGAAGGGGGAAAGTACCAACCACCACCTCCTTCTGCCACAGGGCTTCCTACCCTTGCTTCAGTCCATTGACCCCTCCCCCAGGGCAGATGGGCAGTCGTGGGTGGCAACAGACAAGGGAAGAAAGTTGAATTTCAAATGGGGAGGTGGGTGCTACACTCACCTGAGTGACCAAACATAGTGGCCACACACTCGCCTGAGGAGAAGTCAAAAATGGAGAGGTTCTTATCAGAGCAGCTGGTGGCAATGTAGACCCCTGAGGGGTCTGTCTGCACCTGGGAAGACACAACGAGGAACGAGGAGACAAGTGCCACTCCCTCTTCCTTTAGGGCCACTCTGTCCCCGCCACCTGGTGCTGTGCTTGTCCCGCTGGGTCCTTACCTTAATGAGAGTGCCGTCTTCACCCTGCGACCCTTTGTACAGCTTTTTCTGCTTCCCGCTGCTGATGTTGAAGATCCTGTAAAGAAAGGCACCTGTTCACGGCAGGCCCAAGGGCCGGAGCACACCAGGTCCAGGCACTGCCATCACCCCCCACTCGTTCTGGAAGCGCCCTCTCCACACCTGAGGCCCACTCTCTTAGGTGAGGCAAAGCACTTTGCTGCCTCAGAGGGGTTCGAAAGCTTGGACAAAAAAGCAGGTGTGGGGACTGAGCTGCCTGAAAGACTGAGAAGTGGAGCCCAGAAAAATGGCTGAGAGGGTAAAGGCCCTTGCTGCCAAGCCGGATGAATTAAGTTTGATCTCCAGGAGCCTTGTCATGGTAAGATAACCACCACTCCTGAAAATAGTCCCCTAACCTCCACCTGCTCAGCATGGCACATGGATTTCCTCCCCCAAAATCAAGAAATCGAATTTTTAAATTTTTAAATGAGTCTGAGAAGGGAATGCCCACCGAATATTTCGGTCTTGGCAGCCGATGGCTGTGTACTTCCAGCTGGGTTCCACATCCATGTCATAGAGGGTTGTCTTCCGTACCACGTGGTGTGTTCGTGTAAACTGCACCCCTTCTCCAGACTGCAGCAGGGAGGACATGGGCAGACCACACCCAAAAGCATTACCAGGTCACAAAATTCACCCTGCCTCCCTTCCCAGCTTGTCCTGTAACCTGAAACCCATTCCCACGCCTGCCCTGGCAGGGATGCCCAGAGTCCTTACCTTCTGTGCAGTTCGGAAGTAAATGCTCTTGTCTGCACCACAGCTGATCATTCTCACTTGCCCATCACTGGCTATGGGAGACAGGGACCTGGCTGCTTCCACCATATCAAGGCAGCCCTTCTCCTGCCTTCCTCATTTTCCCCCATGGTGGACCGACCAATTAGAATGCATCCCACTAAACCTATGTCTCCACCCTCACCCCAACTTGCCTGGCTCAGGGTCTCCTAGACTGAAAATTTATATTCCAGCTGTCTTCCCACCTAACCTCATGACTCCCAGGTACTTCCCCATACTTCCAAGCAGACCCTTCTCATCAAAGTACAGCAAGGTGGTAGGTAGATAGAGGGATGTATGGCCTCAACCACCCAGTCCCCACCTGCAAACTTGACAGCTGTGATGGAGGAGGAGTGCTCGTCCAGTGTCTGCTGTAGGCTATACTCCCGCCCAGCGTCCAGCACATGGATCAGACGGTCCCGGCTTGCTGAGGCTAGCAGCTTCAAACCTGGAGTTGGAAGAACCTCAACAGCTCACACAAACCAGCCCTTAACGATGCCCAGTAAAGAGTCCCAAGTGGCTAGAGTCTCATATTCTTAAAGCTACATGAATCACAGAACAGGGACAGAACTCTTCTTAAAATCCTGCAAAGACTAAATGATCCAAATGATTACAAAACCCAAGATTATCAGAAGCTAAGACAGGTATAAGATGGCACTGGCAGGACAGGAGGAGCCCTATGTCAGAGCTAGACCTTGCCAGTGCTTGGGCTAGACCTTACCTGTGTCTGGCTTAGAGTATTCCAGGCACAAGATCTCAGAGTCATGGGCCTCTACCTTCAGCATCTCATTCAGTGACTGCAGTTCATGTACCCTACAAAGATGAGAAGTCACTGCAGGCTGCAAGAGGAGAGACCTCCTTTTTCTGTTACATCTACTCATCACCTTTAAAAAAATACTTTCAAGTTAAAAAAAATCTTCAAATACTACAGGTGTTCTTTTTGTTGTTGTTTGTTTGTTTGTTTTTCAAGACAAAACAAACTGTGTATTTCTGGTTGTCCTGGAACTCTGTAGAGCAGGCTGGCCTCTAACTCAGAGATCTGCCTGCCTCTGCCTCCTGAGAGCTGGGACTAAAGGTGTGCACCACCATGGTGAGGCCCTTTGACCAGTTCTTAATTAACATGCATAACAATAGCACATTATCAGAGCAAGGACATTTACATACTATTAACTAAATATCTTATTCAAATGTCATCATTTTTTCTGTATGTCCTTATTTGATCCAGGATCTGAGAGTCCAAATGGCATTTGTCACCCCTCTTTAGTGTCCCGTAGTCTGTGACAGTCTTTCCATTCTTCCTTACCATTCATAACCTTGACATTTTTGAAGAGCACTGACAGTTACTCTTCTGTATGTATCTCCTTTGAGCCTCTCCTGAGTTATATGCATTTTTTTTTTTTTGCAAGAACACCACAGAAACAATACTATGTCCTGTTAAGAACACCGTATCATGGGCTTCCTCGTGCCAATGTGTGGGTGATGTGCCACTTGTCTGAGGTGGCTTTCCTGAGCTCTCCACTGTAAGCTCATTCTTTCCATTTTAGGAAATTTATTTTGTTTCTGAGGTCTTAGGGGGAGACAACCCCTCCTAAAGTACTGTCCTTGAGGACCCAACCACCCCAGCCACCACGGGAGGCAGCCAGGACCTAGCCAGAACTGACATTACCTCAGGGTCCCCATTCGGTCTCCTGAAGCTAGGTGCTGTCCATTGGGGCTGATGCACACAGAACGGATGCCTACTCGGGGATCCATCAAGGACCCATCAGCTTTGTCTCCTCCAGGTAGCTCAGTGTCCAACAGAGCCTGAGTGTTTCCATCTACATAAATGATCTTAATGAGATCCTAGTGGGAAAGAAAGGTGAGCAGAGATGGGTTAGGATGCACGATGGCTGCAAGCAGTGACAAATGTTGGGCAAAATCTACTCTTGGCTCATAGAACCCTGCCAAATAAAAGATGAATGGTCAAGATTAGGGAAGCCAGTTTCTGAAAACAAGGTCAAAATCCATAGGCATGGGAGCATTAGTATGAAATGGGAGGCCCAAGCCTCTGCTCACATTGCTGAGGATGTTTCGGTGCAGGGTAGAGCCATGTACCCCAGAGCTCTCTGTGTTCCACAGGCGGATGGTGTTGTCTGAGGAGCAGGTGATAAAGGAACTGGGGGGAAGACAGGCCTGATTACTGTCCTTCACCTCGGGGTAGACCTGAAGGGACAGAGCAGAAGAAGTAGACTTTCATTTGGCGGGAGATTTTATCTATTCAAGGAGATGGGAAAAGTAATGAAATGGAGACAGCAAGCGATGACTTAGCCAGATGGCTGACAGAGAGTAAGGAAGCAGCACATTACTGTCACACACACTGAGAAAACCCACGAACCCAGTACTTCTTCCTATGCGCCGAAACGTCTCAGTCACGTCATTTCTTTTCATTGTTAGAACAACTGCATGACCCGTACACATCATTTTAGAGTTAAGGAAGCTGAGGCTTGGTCAGGTTTAGTAACTGGTCTAAGATCCCTGAGCCCAGAATAAGGCAAAATTCGGGCTAGGCAGAGGCACACAAGGAGCCCGAGATGCACAGGCACTACCATTTAGACGCAAGCCCCAGAGTCCACGCCAGGAAAGCCACTGAAATCAGCGAGGCAGGAACCTAAGGCTGTCTGTCCTTCCTGCCCACTTCCTACCCTCACAGTGGTACTCCAGCAACCCATCCCACGTACCTCCACACTCCAGACACAGGAAGAATGATAGAGAGCTGAGTAGACCTTGCCCACTTTCTTGGGGTCCCTCACATCCCAAACGTAGATGCTGTGGTCGTTGTACACACAAGATAGCCACTGATTAGTTGGATCAAAGGTCAAGGCGATGGTGTCTGGGTACCTAGCATCAGCCCCTCCGGAGAAGAGGCGGCTGGGAGAAAAGAGGGGAGTTAGAGTGAAGGAGCACAGGGAGCTGTCTCCAGACCTCCAGATTAGGAAGTCGATCTGACGAGACAAAAGCACATATCCTAGAGACACCATCCAGGAGCAGACCCAACGCCAGCTGCTGGGCAAGTGTTTTCCAGAGGACACTAACAAACTCACAGACCAACAGTATCAGACAAGGTAGTTCTGTGGTTCAATCAACGAAATCTAGATAGTTCTGTAAGCATTTCTGCACAGAGATCAAAACACGACTATTATACAAACCACAAAAATGGGGCTAGGAATGAAGCTCAGTGGCAGAGCACTTGTCTAACACGCAAGGCCCTGAGCACTATCTCCAGCACCTCAAAATCACCACCACCACCACCACCACCACTGAGGAGGACACTTACGAACCATAAAAATGACCAGCCATCACCCTTTCCCTTCCAGCATGATTGCTGGCTGTGTCTTTCCATAGTAGCAAGATGTCCGACTGTAAAATGACCCTCCTTCCTTCCATCATCCAGCCAGATTTAATGCCAACACTAACTGAGTTCCTAACACTAACTGAGTGAGACACTCATGGTCCTCCAGGGTATTTAATCCTCTTGGTTCTGACAATTACCAAGAAACCCAGATTCCTTTTGTCTACACAGGTGATCTTTAAGCATTGCTCTTCTTTCTGTTTCCTGAGGTACTGACTGAAACTCTGAATGGAACAGCGGGCCTCACATAGCTCACCTGGCCTCAGTGATGCTGGCGATGTCTGTTCCCAGGGCATGGGGTCTGGGTAGGGTACTGAGGAAGTGCAGGTTGGAGGGATTGAACAGGCGCACAGTGCCATCAGCACAGCCACAGAAGATGTATTCTTGGCTGACAGAGATGCAGTGGGCCACAGTGGTCTGTGGGCAGAGCAGCTCAGGTCAGTAAGGGCTACCTTCCTATTTAGCCTTGTTTTATCCTTCCCAAGCCCTCAGCAGCAGTCACTTGTAATAGGAGAGCCAGGCCAAGGTAGGGGCAGCCCCTCAGTTGTCATCTAGAGATGCCCTCCCTCCAGCAGCATGTGACCAGAAGGCCTATAGTTCTTGTGAGGTGGGGCAAAAATCAGGGAATCCTTCTAGGCATCAGAGGTCCAAGATGCTAGGGTAGGGAAATCCCAGCAAGAGAGAGAAACAGCCTGAGGAAGAGAGGAAGGCCTAGGAGCACTTACTGTGAAGCTGTCTGTGTTCTGAGCAGAAGAGGAAAGCAGGGGAGAGAGAAGAGAAAGAGCAAGAGGAGGCAGTTATAGAGATCACTGGGCTGGAGAGATGGCTCAGCCATTAAAGGATAGGCTCACAACCAAAAATATAAGAGATCACTGAGACTGGCCCTGGGTCTTCTCCTGGAGTCCCCTCTGGCATGCACTGAGGCCCAGCCCCGGGTCTAGAGCCCCAAGGCCAGCTCTGCCCTGATTTGTGACGAGGCCAGACCTTACCCTGGAGTCGGAGTTACTTACTCTTAGCTCCACCCATTTGTCCAGAAGCCTTCGATCACTGAACTCGCACAGCAGCCCCGATGAGGTGATACAGAAAGTGCTGTCAGCCTTTTTCCCTCGGCCACATGCCACATCAGTGAACAGGTTGTTCCGCAGCTCGCCCAGCAGCCCTGAGCGGCCCAGCAGGGGCACAGTGGCGTTCACCTGTGGAGACACACCGCTCTATCCACCTAGCCCTGGACGTGAGGTGCTCAGGAAGAAAGGGCAAGAACAAGCTCCCGTTCTGCGAGACTCCTCGGCCCATGCAGAATAGGTGACGGTTGAGCAAGCCAGGGGCGGCTAGCTGGAGCAGTGTCCACGGTAGGGTGTCTTGGTCCTCACCTTTGAGGTCTTGCTGTCATCGAGGTACCAGAATTTGATGTGCCGGTTGCCTGCAGTGACAAAGTAGCTGCAGTCTTCAGAAAAGGACACTGCTGTCACCCGACTAGACACTTTATTGGAGGCCACCACAATGTTTTTCTGGAGGGAAGTCAAAGGGATAATGAAAGCTCTGATCCTTGGGGATAAGAAGGACTCTGAGAATGGAGAAGAGCTGGCAATAATTTCTACTTGAAAACAAAAGAAAACAAAAACCCTTCCTTTCCAGTGTTTATTGGTCAGAAAACAAAGCAAACCAAACAAAAAAATACAAGCAAATCTCTTTTTTGTTTTTTCTTGGTTTTTCAAGACAGGGCTTTTCTGTGTAGCCCTGGCTGTCCTGGAGTCACTTTGTAGACCAGGCTAGTCTCGAATTCATAGAGATCTGCCTGCCTCTGCCTCCCTGAGTGCTCGGATTAAAGGTGTGTACCACCACACCTGGAAAGCAAATCCTTTTCTAAAGGAATTCAAAGGTTTAATTCCTCAAGTGTACAGGAAGCCCCTCTATTTTCTACTTCAATAATTTTCAATAATAATTATTTTTCAAATAATTTACAGTTAGTATTTTCTACTTCAAATAATTTTCAAGAACAAGATGGAAATCAGGGAAGTAAATGAAGTTGCTCAGGTCAGCAGTTTCCCAACTCCCCACTGAGACCAGAACCCCCATAAGGATGTCAAGCTGTCCCACCCAGGCCACTCACCTTCCAGGCCCACACGTTGACAATCATATCATGCTGGTAACCCACAGAGACAATGTACTTGGCACTAGGGGAGAAAGCCACACAAGCCACGCCATACTTATGCTCTTGCAGCTCTGCCACCTGGCTCCGTTCCGCCACATCCCAAACCCGCACGGCAGGCATGTGCCCACTCTGCGGGAAGCAAGAATGTGTGTGAGAACTGTGGGAGGCTGTTACTCGCAGCCTCCTCAGTCTTTCACCTCCCCGGCTTTAAACACTGTTTCTTCAATGCATCCCTGCTTAAAAGGAAAGAGCAAGACAAAGACAGAGAGGAGGAACAATAACATCTGAGGACACCAGAGATTATCTGGATGAGGCTAGCTTTGCTTCTGTATTTTCTCAAAGCTCCTTTTACTGATTCTAGTAAGCAGCCAGGACTACAAATGATTACTTTTACTCTGAGCTGTGCTCCTGGTGTGCCCAGCAGGGGGCATCTGGAGATAAGGAATATTTTAGGGTGGTGGTTTCCAAAATGTGCCTAAAACCACCCCACATTGTTAGAAGCTATAAGGGAAAGAAAGAAGGCAAGAGCTTCAGATATTAAAGGCATCTGTCACTAAGCTGATGACCTGAGTGAGAGCTCCATGTCCCCTCCCCCACATAAATAAATGAATTAATGGTTTTTGGTGTTGTTTTGCTTTTAAAAGAAGAGCTATCTGGGGAACCCCAGATTATAGAATCAGACTTTGGAGCAGGCACCCAGCTGTGAGCTTTGAAAAGCCCTCCCAGGGAGTCTGATCACACTAAAGCTTAAAAACAGCTCTTTAGGGGGCTAGAGGGATGGCTTAGAGATTAAGAGCACTGCTTGCTCTTCCAGAAGTCCTGAGTTCAATTCCCAGCAACCACATGGTTGCTCACAACCATCTAGAATGACATCTGGTGCCCTCTTCTGGTGTGCAGGTGTACATGCAGGCAGAACACTGTATACATAATAAAAACAAAAACAAAAAACAGCTCTTTAAGACACAGCAGAAATCAGGGCATCAGCCAAAGAAGCCAAAGTGCAAGCACCCTAGCGGGACACAGGGTACCCATAGCCACAGTATTGTTGCCCTGTTCCTCACTCACCTCTCCAGTGACCAAGTACTTGCCATCAGGGGAGAAGGCAAGGGCAGTAATGGTTTTCCTACGAGAGACAAGGCAGGCTTGGTTGGACCTAGTAGACTATGCCCCTTCCCACCTCTCTCCCTCCATCCTTCCTGCATAGTTTTCAAAGGCAAGACCAACAAACTCAAGAGTATACATGCCACTTCCCTATCTGGCCTCAGGGCCAAACCAGGTCCCCAAACCCCAGAGCCTCAGACCCTGGCCAAGGCCTTTGCACAGCCCCTTGAGGCCAGGCCCACATACCTGGAGCTGTTGAGTATATGGTGCTGCTTATGTTTCCGGGGACTGAACAGCACAACCACACACCTGAGGAGATGAGTGAGATGTTAGGCTTAGCTCCTAGGCACAGTGACCTCAAGAGCCCACCTAGGACCCAGCAGAGAAAACAGGTCAACCAAGCTCACAGTTTCCACTGCTTTCTCCACCAAAGAGCCTATCTCAGCAGCTTCAGATGGTAGAAAGGTTTTCCATGGAAGCCTACTCACTAGGACCCTGATTGTCAGCCCCTTCTCTCATCACACCCACAAAGGACAGCAGGATAACTTCCTTCCCAACAGCATTCCTCCCCATATGAGATGGAAGAATAAATGCAATTTGATCAGCTCAGGTCTCAGCTTGCAACCAGTTCTCAGTTAGAGCCGCATAGCTTACTCCTTGTTATAGATAGTGTGCCTCCACCTATGAGCAAGGAAGGACATGGGGGCTATGCAAGTGCTAGAGCTGCAAGAAAGCCTAATACGCTAGAGGTGGCAGGAACAGAGAGAGCCTGAGAAGGCCTTGGGAATGACTTAATGCTACAGAGTCTCCCACTAAGCCAGAGGATCCCTGGCTTCAGGGCCCAAGCAGAGCTTTTTGATCGCTAGAACAAGACAAGTAGAGATTTTTCCTCCCCTTCGTTCACAAAAGGGTTGGGACAACCTTTTTCCCCAGGGGACAAGGCTACCAGATGGGATCAGATACTGTCCAGAGCAGCTCTGGGCAGAGAAGCTGGATGGTAGGAATCAGCAGCAATAAGTTAGAGGCTAAGGGCCAAACAGCGTTTTCGGCAGGCTCCTGGGTTACGACAGGCCCTAGCCTGTTGTCCAGCTGTCTAATCTCTTAGCTTTGGAATAGCAGAAAAGAGCACGCCTAGAAGCTGCTATACCAAAAACTAGGAGAAGGAAAGAGCAGACAGACTGTAGTGGGAAACTAAATAGACAAGTGCAATAATAACAAGTACTTGGCATCTCAGGCTCAAAAACTAATCCAATATACAGAGTCTACACATTCCCCAGATACCTTTGATGGGGCCAAACACATCCAGAACTTCCAGCTGACCAACAGACCTGAAGACCTGGGTCTCCTCACCACTAATTGCCCCTACCAGCCCTTCCTCAATTGTTTTCTTTCTCTTACCCTCATCCCCTCTCTTTCCTGTTCCCTTTTCCCTATTCCTTTCTCTTTTCACTTCTTACATCAAGTTCTAATCTCCCACGTCTCCTTTCAAAATGCCACAGTCAAGAGGGTCTTAAGTATGACAAAAGCCCTCTTTAGGGGCATACCTGTCATACCAGCATTTGGCAAGCCAAAGAATCAAGTTTTGATTCTTCAAATGTGCAATATATTGAGTTCAAAGCTAGACTGGTCTACAAAGTAAAACCTTGTCCTAAAAATATGAAATGACAAAGCCAAGAGCTCTGGAAACTTTTTATCCTATCACTTCTGAACAGGACAATGATTCAAACACTATTCATTGTGTGCCAAATAATATTCTCTAGGCCCACTGTCATTGACTTAGAGGTTTTCTGTGGCTGCTGTTGCCTGAACCCTCTTCTAAACTGTGCTGACAAGCCCTCTAAAGGCTCAGCTCAGGCAAAAGTGGCCAGTCTGACAGATTATGGGCTACTAGCTTCTGACTAGAAACAGATTGTCAAGGGCTTTGGTCTCTGAGAGAACTCCTCTAACTACAATGGTGACACAATGGAGCTAACTACATTCCAAATGCAGAACAACTCAGTGTTGAGAGCTCTGCCTGTGAGTGCTCCCTTAAGCCTATCGCCAAAAGCAGCACGGTGGCCTTTAAAGGGCAGTGCATCAGACTGCTTCAAACACTTTGACCTGGTGTGGTGGCACACACTTATGATCCCAGGATTTGGGAGGTCGAGGCAGGAGGCTCAGAAGTTCAGTCATCCTCAGCTATATGGTGGGTTTGAGATCATCTCAGGCTGTATAAGACCCTGTTAAAACAAAACAAAACCTTTCTAGCCACTATGTACACATTTAAGTCTTCACAGAATACCATTTATTCTGTTTTCTACATCTCCTAAATTCAAGCTCACAGTGGAAAGAGGAAGGAAAGCAAAAGTGTGTGTGTGTGTGCGTGCGTGCGTGTGTGTGTGTGTGTGCGCACGCGCGTATGCATGTGCACACAATACAGGCAGAAAGATAATTGGCTACAAGCAGATGAGAACCCTCACCTATCTTCTCCCCTTACATCATATAACAGGAAATTTTCTGGCATGGCAGGAATGGAAACATACAGAACAAGACACTTAGTCTTTTTACTCAGATTTATTCAGACTGGCAGCTAACTCCTCAGAGAGAAAAAGTGAGCACATATGTATTCCCTTTTGGAAGAGCTGTGCCCATGGCTTATATATGTCCAGCTGACTTGAGTTCTTCCAAGCAAACAGGAGGGCCTATTCTCAAATAGCCTCAAAGAGTGTCTTTGGTCTTCTCCTCTTTGGTCTGCTTATTAAACTTTTAACAGACGACTCCGTCAGCTAGGGAGGGGAGGGTGGGGCATAGTTGGCATCAGTCACTGGCCCTTCACTTCCAGTGTCCTTGCCCAGTAGCGTAAGCCCTTGCAGAAATACTCACTGAAGTCATCAACATAAAGGCTGGGCTGGGCTGGCCCCACAGGCTGACTCCTGTAACTTAGAACTTGAGGGTACAGAGAGATGGCTCACCCTTATAGAGAGAGGGTAAGGCCTCAGTCCCTTAGGGCCTCAGCTCAGGAGAGTCATACTGTGGAACACTAGTGCCAGGAAGGGCCAAGCCCTTGACAATCACACTGCACAGGCCCAGGCTTGCTTCTTTCTCAGAGAAGCTATCTCCTACCAGTCTCCATCCTCCAGAGGCAAAGCCAAATGAACACCAGGATGAGCCATGAGTGGAGCAGCACAAACATGTGCAGGCCAAGGAGGTTGAACCAGAAACAACATGTTTTCACATTTCCTTCAGGGTATAAACTCAGAAGGGCCACACGGAGGCATACTAAAAGTCCTTCATGCATAACTCAAATGCCACCCTCTAATCCTATTATTAAACCTCACTCCCCACATTCTTTATTGCACTTTACCACCATTGCTTATTCTTTCTCCAAAGCATGCAGCAACTTATAATTTTCTACATAATTTACTTTGTGAGGAGTACCTATCACTGCATTTTCAACTCAGCAAAGATGCCACTTTGTGTTTTGTTTACTGTTAAGTCCCCAGCCCTAGGAAGACAGGCACTCAGTATTTTTGGAAGGCATAAATAAAGCTTAAAGTCATTAATAAACCAGGCATGGTAGTACATGCCTATATTCTCAGCACTCAGAAGGTGGAGGCAGGAGGATCAGAAGTTTAAGGGCTACACAGTGAGTTTGAGGCCAGTGTGGAATACATGAGAGCCCAAGGAAGAAAGGAAAGAATAAAGGAAGGAGAAAGAAAGGGAAAACAAGCTTTAAATCACTAGCGGCAAGACCCCCAAACTCTGCTGAAAAACCTGTCAGACCTATGACCTCGAGCTGCAGGGACAGGCCCATGGTTCTCCTGTTACAACCATAACTCCCTCACTGATGCCCGAGGACAACATAGTGGTAGAAAGATGAAGATCACTGTGGTCAGACAGACCCATCTGATAATATACTGTACGATCTTGAACTTGTTTCTTACTTCTAAAACTCTCAAGTCTCCTCATCTGTAAAGCAGAACAAATATCTGCTTCACAGGACTACTGTGGATGCACAGGACTACTGTGTACACACAGGACCACTGTGTGCTCTGTTTACTGTGGTCTTTACTGCCACCTTCACAAGCTTTAAATAACCATAACATGCCTCTTAGCAGGTGTATGAGTTTCCAAAATGGTTTAGCAGAGGAGGGCAGACTCGCCCTGAAACCATGGGCTGAGGTCCTGAGTTGAATAAAAAGGAGAAGGGAAGCTGAGTATAATTTTCATCTCTCTCTGATGCAATGTGCTCAGCTGTCTCCCCTGCCACCATGACAGGCCACGGTGGGCTACAGCTTCAAACTGTGGCCCAAAATAAGCTTCTTTCTTTGAGCTGCTTTTGTCAGGTATTCTGTCACATCAACAGGAAGAGTATCTACTGTAGTCCCTGTTCTATTGCTGTGAAGAGACGCCATGACGCTTATCAAAGAAAGCATTTCATTGCGCCTTGCTTAGGGTTTCAGAGGCTTAGTCCATTATCAGCATGGCAGGGACCATGGCACTGGAGAAGTGGTTGAGAGCTACAGCCTGATTCAGAGGCAGAGAGAGACTGAGCCTCAAAGCCCACCCCCACTGGCACATCTCTTGCAACAAAGCCACACCTCCTAACCCTTCCAAACAGTTCCACTCCTAGGTGGCTAAGCATACAAATACGTGAGACTATGGAAGACATTCTTTATGTTTGCTTGTTTGGTTTTCAAGACAGGGTTTCTCTGTGTAGCCTTGGCTGTCCTGGACTCAATTTATAGACCAGGCTGGCCTCAAATTCACAGCGATTCACCTGTCTCTGCTTCTAGAGTGTTGGGATTAAAGGTGTACACCACCACGCCTGGCGTTGGAAGCCAGTCTTATTCAAAGCACCACAGTAGCTAATAAAGCAAACTGGGTCATGGGTTGATATGATGAAACCAAAATGGCTCATAATGCCTTTGGAACTTGCTTGCCTGAGGAATATGAAAGAGTGTGTAGAGCTGTAGGCTAGAGAAGCCCTGGAATGCTGTAAGCAGAGCTTATTAGACCAGTCTGGTGGGAGTTTGGAAAATCAGAATACTGAGAGAAATATGGCAGTTGTGGCCTGGCTCATGAAGCTTCAAGGGGAACGAGTTGTTTCTCAGCCCATATGGCCTAGTAATATCTATTTATGGAATATTTACAAACCCCTTCTCAAAAACATGTGAAAACCTAGTTGCAAAATAGATAATGTGTCTAAACATATCAGAATAACATGAAAATAAGACTAAGTGTTGACTCTATGACTTACATGACTAGTGGTACAGAGCTATAAGAAATAATTTTCTCTCCCCAGAGGACAGCAGAGACATTTATTTCCCCAACAAGAGGCACATCCTTGTGAGCAGCAAGATTTAAAAGCTAGATCATAATGATGGTTTCTGAGCTCCCTGTTTCTCACTCACTCTAGATTAAACACTAGAGAACTGGTTCCTGTAACAAAATAAGTCCTCCCTTCCTTAGAATCTTTGCACTTGACACTTCCTCCATCTGGAACACTTAAGCATCAAATCTCACATACTGCTTTCTTCTTGCCATGCTAGTATCGGTTCAATTACTCCCCACTGCGCCCTGACCACTCAATTATTTTATTTTAAATGTGTGAATATTTGCCTGCATGTGTGTATATGCACCACAGGCCTACTTTGGTACCTGCAGGGGCAAGAAGAGGACATTAGATCCCGTAGAACTGGAAATACAGACAGTTGTAAACCACTGTGTGACTAGGAACAAAACCCAGGTCCTTTGCACGAGCAGCAAGAGCTCTTAACCACTGAGCCATCGCTTCAGCCCCTAAACCACCCAATCTAGCACCCTCTCTAGCTCCCAGTTATTTACATACTGTCGTGTCCATCACCCTGCATTCCTGATCCTCCCTTGCTCACTAACTTTTTGTACGCTTGTTGTCTGCGTGCCCTTCTTGATTTTAAACTCCACATTATCAGTGGCCTGTCTCTCTCATTTACTGCTATATCCCTGATTTTTAATAAACTGCTGAGGAAATAAGTCAGTGAGCAAACTGTTACAGGGAGAACGAAGGGTCTGAAGTTAGAAATACACAATAGTCAGAAGTAAAGACACAGAGGATGCTAGGGAGTAGGTGTCCCCATATAGGATTCCATCATGGAGGGTGGGGGTGGGGGAAGCCCAGCTCAACTAAGACAGTTCAACTAAGCTAGGTCCCTCAAAGAGACTGCCTGAGAACTGTGTTGGCATCCTAAGGTAGGGGGTATGACAGGTAATACTGTCAGGTGGACAGGATATAATCACAATCTATTTTATAGAAGACAAGATCTATAATCACATAGGAGACAAACATCTATGTGTGTCTGCAAGGGAGTTTCTAAACTGGGTTAGTTGGTGGCGTAAGATCCACCCTTACTGTGGGCACTACCATTGTGTTGGCTGGGGGCCAAGTAAACAGACATGAGACAGCAGCTGAGCACCAGCAGTCGTCTCTCTACCTCCCAGCTATGGGTGCCAAGTGGCTGGTGGCGTCCTGCTCTTGCTGTCATGCTTTAAAAAGGAAGGGAGGGTTTGTTTTGGCTCATAGCTTGAGGGTATTCCTACGCCGTTCTTCAGGAGTATTTTGCCACAGCAAAGAGAAAGGTAACTAACACAGCTTCAGGTACGGCAGGTGAGGGTGGGCTCCCTGTGGGACAACAGTAGCTAAGGGAAAGCTCTGAGGAGGGGCGCTGGCCCGAGATACCATATTCACTCAAATCCCACCCACCTCTGTCTAACACATGCTGCTGACCCCCCTTTCCTGTGCTGTTTCATTTCCTCTCAGAAAATTTTGTTTTGGTTTGATAGTTACTGCTAGGCCTCTGGGAGGATTCAGAGTTTTGTTTCTCTTCTTGTTTCTAGGATACCTGAGCTGGTTCCTACAGCAAGAGCAGCAGGAACGAGTGTGGGGGCTGAGGGTGGTGCTGGGCAAAAGAGGGAGAGAAAAAGCCTGTTTGGGCTCCCATAGACTTTAGTGGTCCCCATGAACCCTAGGAGCACAACAGGGAGCTCTAGCACAGAGAAGAGCCAAAGCTCTAGGAAGCAGCCATTTGCAAAGACAGAAACCAAAAGTCTAAGAAAGCCACAGGTCGGCAAACAGCTTGGGAGTATTGCCCAGAGTTAGCCAAAACCAAGAATACTCAGAAATCTCCTAGGAGACCCTGTATATGACCCTGTATATGAAATCCTCTGAAGGAGGATTTCCAGGTAGCACACTGGGCTGCAAGAGCCTGTAAAGATAAGTATATACTCAAAAGCTCCAGGCCTGGCACAGGGGTATAAGGAAGGAGAGCTTGCGGCAGAGTTCCACACTTCCCAAGGCCTTGCCACGGGGCTTAGCATACCAGAAGTGGTACCCCAAGCTTTTCTGCACAGCTTATATCTAGCCCCAGTCCCATTTCCAACAAGAAGGGACTTGGCTTTTCCAGGCAGGGGCAGGCATGGTATGAGTGGAATTCCCCTGAGGCAGGCAGTATTGGGTTATTTAGCAGGTCAGGCCCTTTATCAAGTTGCTTTAACAGGGAAAAAGGAAGCCTGTCCAGTCTTTGCCAGGCTAAGCCACTGCAGCAACCACAGGGCCCCAACTGTGGACACTAAGCACCACAGGACCCCTCTGGAGAGACGCCCAACTCAGAACCCAGGGCCAGAAGTCTCCCTGGCACAGATCAATCTGTCCATACACTGAGACAGTTGAGAGAAACAGCAGAAAGTCTGGCTAGAAGAGCTCAACGGTCAGGCCACTTGGACGCGCCCTCCAAGGCAGACACCGGCAATGTGATGGTGAACACATCACTTCACCGCGAATCTGTTTCCTCTCTAAACTATGAGCTGGTGCAGCACGCTCAAGTGCTCTCCTGCCACAGCCTCTCAAGTACTTAGGGCCACAAAGCATCGCACCTGACTGACTACATGGAGCTTCTGGAGTAAAGCTGACTGTGGCAATGGCTGCAAATTCTATAAAATTACTAAAATTCACTGAGTTGAATATTTATTTTGCTAGAAGTCAAAACTCAGGCCTTACTGGGCAAGCACTCTGCCAGTGAACTCTACCCCAGCCCTGAGATGGACAATTTAAACATTTGGTGCCATTTCACAATAAAGCCATTAAAGCCTACTAGAAGACAGTTATTAAAGATGGTGCTGGGGCTCAGCAGTTAGGAGGAGCACTAGCTGCTCTTCCAAAGGGCCAGGACCCACATGTTGGCTCACAGCCATCTGGAATTGCAGTCCCAGGGGACCTGATGCCCTCTTCTGGCCTCCATGGGCACAAGGCACACACATGGTCCATGGAGTATAGGCAGAACACTCATATACAGAAGATAAATAAAAGTAGTTTTTAAAAAAAGATGTTGTGACTCCTATACAAGAAAAGGATAAATCTGTGTGTGTGGACGGGCAGGCTTGGGAAGATAACCAAGCATCAGCACAGGACGAAGCAAGGACAGCACCCAATAAAAAATTATTGTTACTTAGACTGTGTTTTCTCCACAGACATGACATCAAAACGCTGACCTAGACGTATCTCTCACAAGATTTCAGAATCCTCCTGTCCACCTCAACTGGTCTACATTGATTGATTATAACTCACAGTCTTCTCCCCAAGGCTCAGGGATCTTCACAGAAAAAAGGGTGGGAAGACTGTGAGAGCCAGGGGCAGGGAATAACATCAAGGAAACTGCTTCCTGGATACAGCATGGCAAGTGGACAGATGAACTAACTGCAGTTGTGACTGCACTCACACGATCAGGGCAAGCTCACGCCAGACAAAATCCTAATGTGGGTGGGGTGGGGAGGGGTGGAAGTGGGGAGGTGGGTGAAAGTCCCACTCCTAATGAGGAGCTATGGCATCTGACAGCTGCTACGACAGGGAGAGTAGGTTTTCTTTAATGGGTAGCCTCTGGGTAGGCTGACCATATCTAAGGACAAGCCCTGCACCCGAGAGTCATTAGCAACACAAATTTGACTGAAGAGTCTTTGAAAAGAGAGAGAGGGAGGGGAAAGAGGGAGAGGGGGAAAGAAAGATGGAGAGAGAGCACAAAGTTAAATGGATAGGAAAGTGGAGTAGATGTGGGAACAGTACGGGGAAGGGAGTAATATGATCAAAATACATTAAATGAAATTCTCAAAGAATAAAATGTTCCTAAAAAAATGAAAAATAAGCTTTCATGCAACACGATCTCCTGAAAGGCACTTACCCAGCTGGATAGGCAACTAAACCTGATCGGGGATCACAGGCAAGTCCTCTGCCTCCAGATACTGTTACTCCCAGCACCTTCTCCAAGGTCACCTGTTAGCACAAGACACAGCACAGGGTTAGAGGGGGTGCTAAGGTGCCTACAACCATCCTCTGCAGCACCATCTTCCTGTCTTCAGGAAAATAAGCCTGCGACTTCTTCAGACTTTGTTCTGATCAAAAGTCCCTTGGACATATGAGAAAATGACAGTAGTTGAGTGCCACCTGCATTTAGCAGATTCTACCTGCTGTTGCCGTGGAAAAGAAAATGAAAGGGTTAAAGTAGATGACAAAGGAGGAACAAGCATTCTTCCAATGCAAAAAGGCACCAAAGTCTAGGCTAGAGCCTGAGATCTGGGGGGGTCTATGAGGTTCACAAGAGGTCACTGACCTTCAAGCCTTTGAAGGCCACAGTAATCTATCTCCTGAGACCAGAATAATGTTAGGCATCAATTAGGTAACTTGGACATCCTTGATTTGTATCTGATCACGTGCTAGACCTCCATCAAAGGACTCCACCTCCCTGTCTGCCAGTTCATATAGTTTAGGCGCCTTGGAGGCCAAAGAAGGGCTTAATGCTGTGTTTCGGGAATCACAGATGCTTAGGGTACTCTGATTATTGTTATTAAGCCACAACTCCCACAGAGATGAAAGGGAAGCCTGGGTAAGATGCTGAAGAGTCTGAGAAGACATGACACATGAGACTTCACCATCTTCATCAACAATGTTGCTGTCCTACATTGTAATGCAGGCCACAGAACCCCCACTGGACTAACCTCAAATTAATTCACTAGTCTCTCTGTGGGTGAGGTATGTGAGATCCATTCTGCCCTATAACCTCAAAATTGTCACTCCATGGTGCTCTTTGTCACACAGTTTTTCTGGTCACTCCAGATCCAGTTCCCTGCAGAGCTGTCTGTACTTCCTTCGTGCGCCTTCCCTCAGGGATGTCCTTGTTCTTCCTTGATTTAGAGCAAGGAGCCCATGTAAGCAAAGTATACTGGCGTATGAAAACTCTGACCTGGAGAGTCTGGAAGGGCCAAGGAGTGGTGTAAACCAGAAATATAGGGCAAGAAAGAATCTACTGTGACAGGCCAGTTTCTAGAGTGGGGAAGCCAAGAATCAACTGGATTCGTTTTTGGACATATCTTCTCTTACTGGCCTAAACAGAGAAGAGTTGAAAGTGCTTTTAGAAGTCCTATTTCTTTTTTGTTTGTTTTTTAGTTTTTTTCAAAACAGGGTTTTTCTGTGTAGCCTTGGCTGTCCTGAACTCGCTTTGTAGACCAGGCTTGGCCTCAAACTCACAGAGATCCACCTGCCTCTGCCTCCCCTAGTGCTGGAATTACAGGCATGGCCACTGTGCCCGGCCCTGTTTAGACTCTTCCAGAGATCCTCTGACCACACCTATGTGTACATACACACCACTAAATAAAACAACAACAAAGGCCATTTTACTTTGAACTGGGTGGGAAAGTAATGCCCGTGGTTGATAAGACTAAAATAAGTCCCACCATGGTAGCACAGTTAAAACCTATAGTCTAGTACAGTCTCGTAAAAAAGGCTGGGTTCAATCCCTGGGAACTGGCGGGGGTGGGGGGGAAGCAGAGAAAAAGAGAAAGAGAGAGAGAGAGGCAGGCAGGCAAGAAGGAAAGAACAAACAAAAGCATGCAGAGTTGTAAATACATGTTTGTAATCCCAACACTTGAGAAGCTGAGACAGGAGGATTACTGTGTTTGGAGCCAGCCTGAGCTATAGAATGGGTTCTAGGCCAGCCTGGGCTATATGATCTATCTCAGAAAAACAAAACAAAGAACCAAACAATATTTTCTCAGAGTGACTTATTCTCTGAGAGTGACTTATGCTTCTGAGGGATATGGAGCAGGAATTGTAACATGAGTTTACTCACGGGTAGCAGTGGTTTAGTTACAGTGCATTAGCCTAAGCTCTAGACTGTTCATCTATCCATGGGCTCAGCTGAGGCGCTAAACCCTATGTCAGCCTATGCTAACATTCTAGATCATGAGTGAATTTCTGCCCCTTCCATTCTTTTTCTCGGTCTAATGGCTCACTGGCTTCAGTCACCTGGTATTGTCTGCAGAGCACAAACTCACCCTAGGGGGACTGCACCTTTAGTTACCCAGATCAGGATCTTGGCACTGTGCCTTTAATTGTGCTGGATGAAGGGGTGTTCAGGAACGTTCCTATTGTACTGACTGCCTAAGACAGACAAGAGAGAGGAGCCTGAAGCCACTATGTCCTATGTAGAATGCAGAGGTCATCAGACACAGTGAGCCACATGCCTCCAGCTCTCTTCAAACTAATATAACTTGAAGCAACTCGTTTAGATTCAAATGTGTGCAACCCCTCATCTCCCTATGGTTCGGTGTTGGTCCCAAAGAATCAGACCAAGCCTGCTGGTTCTCAGCTGCCCTTCCCTTTCATAGGAATGTGAGTAGGTGTTCTGTGGCTAGAGAATCCAGTTTTATAGAGAATCTTGAAACTAGTTTGCAATTTTCAACAAGATAAAGCAGAAAGATTAGGTTTATGCACACCCTAAAGACTGTTTTTCACGGCAAAAGAAGAAATGTTTTTTACTATGATCCATTCATATAAGAAACTTGCTTTCTATTGTGGCCTAGTGTGTACATATATGTATGTGTGTAAGCAAACAAAACTGAAGAACAATTTTCATAAAACAATACCTAATTACAGTATATGCTTTAATACACTCTAATATAGTCCTTTTAGTTCTGGCCATGTCCACTTTCTCAACTTCATGACCTACAAACGTGCTGGAAGACTACGCACGGGAAAGCCACCACACACCTCTTCTGTCTGCCAGGCCCAGGGAACAGGCTCCAGCCAGGGGACTCTTTTATTTTGTCACTTTCCTCTCGGGCCCTGCACAGAGGAACATGCTTCCTGACAAGAAAATCCCACAAGCAGGAGTTCACTCGGGAGCTAAAATCTTGGCTTATTTTCAAAGGATTTATGGGTTTGAAAATTTTTTTCCTGGCTTTCTAAAGTAGTCATCCAAGGGAGGGAAGCAGTTTCCTTTGGCCCTCTGAAGGGGAGGAGCAGAGGAAAACATTCAGGGGCATCAGCTGGTTTTTATTTTATGTTCTTAACTCAAACCAGCTTCCTGTTTGCAGGGACGTTTGGGCTGAACTCCACTCTCAAAGGGTCTAAGAGTCCCAAGCTCTTGTGAAGCCTGCAGCAACTAGGCTCATTCTGGAACACGCTAACACAAAGGGCTTTGCAAAATGACTCTCCCCCACTGATAACATTTCTCCTCTCCTCTCTTCAAAAGGTAGCAGAAATTCCACAAGGTGGAGGAGAACCTGGACACCGCCACTGAACGCACTGAGTGCTATCAGCTGTGTGCAGGAGTGAACTTGCCCCAGCTCATCAACTGCGATATGCACAGCTTTTCCCACAGCCTGGAACAGCACTGGGAGCCTTAACCTCAATGGAGGGAGTGCTTTACCATGGCAGTCAGTCTAGGATTCTCCCCATTCTCAGAGACCCTAGTGCACCAATAAGGTCTAGTGACTACCATCTCTCAGCCGAAATATGCCTAACTCCCAAATGTTCTTTCAGCTTCAGGGCTTGACTGCTACAGTCTTCTCAGCATGACCGGCCACAATGATTCTTTTAAACATAAATGAGATTGTGTCATTACTCAAATCCCTCCAATGGCTCCCATCTTCCTTAAAGTTCAAATCCAAACATTTGACTTAAACTTAGAAAGGCCTAAATCACCCAGCCTCCGGCCATTTCTCTGAGATCATTTCCTATACTCTCTTCTCTTGCTCTCCCCCAGTCGCCTCAGCCACCACAAGCACCTTGAGCAGACTCTAGTGTACTCCTGTGCATCTGTTATGCCTTGGATTCAGCAGTTCTTCCCTTAGCTATTCTCACATTGGTTACTCAGGCCTTTGCTCAGAGGCTGTATCCTCAGAAAGGACTTTGTAGGCTTCTCTGCCAACACTTTGGCCTTTACTCTGCTTAACCTTTCTTCACAGCACGCATAGCAGATAAGACAATCATTTTCTCTCTGCCCAGGTGCTTTGTCATCACAAAGGCGCCCTCAAGGACAGGGTAGATTCCCATTACTTATTTATGTATCCTAAGCGCGCGCGCGTGCACACACACACACACACACACACACACACACACCCCTTATTTTTATGTGTCTGAGTGTTTGCATGTATGTGCATGTATACAACAAGTATGCCTGGTGCCTGAGGAGGTTAGAAGTGGGCATCAGAGCCCTGGAACTGGAGTTGCAGACAATTTTGAACTGCCATGTGGGTGCTAGGAACTGGACTTAGGTCCTCTACAAGAGCAGCAAGTGTTCTTAACCACTTAATCATCTCTCCTTCTGCAGCACTAAATCACACCTCCTACATAAAAGGCACTTAATGGTGAACCTACTAGTATTATACTACCAGACAAAGTATCGAGCTGCCTTCTAAAATCCCGTCCCTCTACCCACAGATTAAAGCAGCCCTCAGACCTCTTAAGACACATTTCTTTGTGCAATGGTTGGTTGATTAACTCAAAACTAGCCAGGCATGGTGGCAGACACCTTTAGTCAGGAGGCAGAGACAGGTGGATCTCCGAGAATTCAAGAACAACCTGGTCTACACAGAGAATTCTAGGACAGCCAGTGCTACATAGAAAGACTGTCTCATTAGAGAGAGAGAGAATAAGAAACTCACAACAAAGTACCGACAAGCCTCTGTTGAATTCTCTAATCAGAACTACAAAGGAGAGCGAGACCTCTAACATCACACACACTTGCCAAGGCTCAGGGAGCATCAAGAAGAGGGGGTGCAATGATTTTAAGACCCCAGGGCTGGGGAAGATCAGAACAAAACGATGGCTTCTGGACATGCCAGGACCACTGTGCTCATGAACTCAAAGCCGCTGTGGTTGCCGGTACAAGACCTGGGAAGCTCAAGCCAGGAAGGACTATAGCGTGTTGGGGGGGGGGGGGGGCACTGACAGTCAATGGCTTCCATGGCAGGGAAAGTCAAGGCTGTGGGAGT